GTGTCTGAGGCCAGATTTAAACTGAGGTCTTCCTGATTCAGACCCAGTACTCTATCTACTGTGCCACCTAGCTGCCCAATTATTATAGCAGGGTATTACAAATAGAAAAAGGAGTTCATCTGGCCCTCTCTCTCCCTATTGCTGTTTGTAAAAAATGAGGACAAGCAAATTATGGGACTGCCAGTACCTTAGAACCTTAAACAATGTCATCTGGGACCAGGACGACCTACCCTTGATAGCTTGACCTGATGGACCAGTTGGAAAGGGGTTGTGATATTCATCAAATTGGAACTCCTGGGAGCATTCCATGTTTCAGATGGGGAAAACAACAAATGGACGATGGACTCCTAAGCTCAGTAGGGCCTTTCTGAATACCAGATTATATCTTTCAGTTTGTTCAATGACCTTGCAATTTTTCAAATTTTCATAAAGTTAGCTTTCCAAGACCTACTAGGATTATAGGCTAATAGTCTATGCCAGCAATATACTTACAGATTCCTGAGACTTAGTACAGTCATAGTATATGAGGAAGTCAAGGGTAGAATGTGTTCTCTTTCTCTCTGTCTCTGTCTGTCTCTCTCCCTCCCCCATGTATGTATGTATGTACATGTATGTATGTATGTATGTATGTATCTTTTAACCAGAACTTTGACTTCATCTGTGGAAGGGAGCATCCAGTTAGGAAATTCCTCTACTGATGTACATCTATCCCTTCTCATAGCTTATAGTTTTAAAGCAGAGATTCTTAACATGGAGTCCTCTGACCATAAATTTGGATGGGGAAAAAAATTACATCTTTATTTCAACTTAACTGGTTTCCCTATATGGTTAAAAACATTTTGAGAAGGGATATGTAGGTTTCACCAGATAGCCAAAGGGGCCCATGACACATACAAAAAAGGTTTTTAAACCCCTTTGAGAGTTATCTGGGAATAGTGAGAGGTAAAATAACTTGCCTAAGGTCACATAGCCAAGTGGAATTAAACCCAGGTCTTCCTGACAACTGCAAGGCCAATTCTCTGTCCATTGACACCATGCTACCTCCATGACAGCACAACCACTGATTCAATAATAGGGGAGAAGGAGGAAGAGTGCTTCAGATATCTGTGATAACCTGGTTGGTTCTTTTTGATGGCATCCCTTGATAGAGAAGTGAACAAACATGGAGATCAGGAGGTATCCTGACATGACTTGCTACCATTCCTACTTCTTTTTAGCCCATTGGACTTTTGCTGTCTCTAAGAACCTGCAGTTCCTGACACAGCCTGGCTTCCGACTTGTGCTTTAATTTGGATCCTAGCTTGAACTCCATCCCTCTTTCCTGGGGAAGGGTCTTTGCTCAGGCCCACTAATTTGCCTCAACCACTAGCTTGTGTCAACGCCCTAGAGGGGAAGCCTGTCCTCGATCAGTGTTTGTTGAATGATTGTTTACTGGAGGAGTATTTACCAAGCCTTAAATGAACTGAAAAGATGAATGAATCCCTCTTGTGCTCAGGGCTGTGCTCAGTGAGATGAAGGATACAAAAGGAGAAGACACAGCTCCTGCTGAAGGTCTAGTGGGAAGATGAAGCTAAACAATATACAGCAGCAGAAAGCAGACGCCTGGCACTTGCAAGAGATTAACAATACAACACAACTCCCAGGGCCTGTTGAGTCATATAAAGCAAACTCTCCACATTCGTAGGTGAAATCAAACAATCTGAAATGACAGAGCAAGCTCTCAGCCCTCAGGGGGACAGTGATGTCAGTCTGTAGCCCTGCGAGTAAGGAAATCAATGAATACTGAAATGACAAAGAAAAAAGCAGGCAGTGGGAGAAGGGCGCAGAACAGAGAGCTTGCTCCTATCTTTTCTTTTCTTTTTTTTTCCTTCCTTTTTCCCTTTAGCTTTTCTTTCTCCTCCCAGCTTAGGGGACAGGGAACGATAGGATGGGGAGACCCCAGGCAGCACAGGAGAGGCTAGACTAGTCCAGAAAGGGTAGCACTGGGAGAAGCTGACTTTTGTAGACTTCCAAACTAGTCCTGATATTTTAACTCGGGCATGAATGATGAAAATAACATGTTAAATAATTTTTAAGGACGCAGCAGCTGCTATGGTGAAATTGCCATGTATTGTCTAGGAGATGGTGTTTCCCTTTCTGGAATTGGCTTTTGTCTCTTTTTCCATGCATCACAGGTATCCAGTGCCCCATGCTGCCTTCTGGTTGTGCACAATCCCCCATTCGACCTAGGCCTGCCTTCCTTTTCCAATAGCTATGATGATAGTGACAGAAAAATTGTTAATATGACAGAAAGATCGTTCATATCAAATGTAATATCCCCTATTATCTGCTACTCCCTCTGAACAATCCTAGTGATCTCAGAATTCTAGTAATGTCCTTGCATTCCTACTCCAGGAGGCATTTACTCTCCATTATATTTGAGCTAAGTCCCCATCCTGGGACCTGCCTGTAAACAAAGCCAGCTTGATCCAGGTCATCTGCCAAATGGCTTTTGAAGTTCTTTCATCCCTCATTGGGATTTACGACATTAGATCGTGAAGAGTAAAAAAAAACCAAAAACCAAAAAAAGCAAACAAACAAAAACAAAACAGAACGAACTGGGTTTCCTTGCCTAGATTTCAGAAAGAGGCTGGAGGACTCTCGTGACTACACCCCACTACCTAATATGACCCCCCCTCCCCTTTTCTCCTAAAAGTATAACCACATTTCCTGTGGTGGCAGGTTGTGACCCTGGTATCTCAATTAAAGACACCTTATTCCTCCACTTATGAATTTGATTTATTTTAGGACTTGACAATAAGATCATAGATTTAGAACTGAACAGTACCTCTGAGGCTGTATTATAGATGAGGAAACTGAGTTTATCAAAGGTAAATAATTTTTCAGAAATTCCACACATAGTTAGAAGCGAAACATGAACCTAATAAGCCCATCTTTCAAGCCAAATTCCTGGTTCTTGATTATCCTTGATCTTAGGTATTGATTTGATTATCTGATAACATTATCACAGTTTGACATTCATTGTATTATCAGCAGTTTACAGTGGATAGAGCTCTGTACCTGGAGTTAAGAAGATCTGAGTTCAAATTTGACCTTAGACACTTCCTAACTGTGTGACCTTGGGCGAGTCACTTAACCTCTGTTTTCCTCAGTTTCCTCAACTGTAAAATGAGGATAATAATAGCACCTACCTGTCTGGGTTGTTGTGAGGATCAAATGAGATAATATTTGTAAAGCATTGATCATAGACCTTGGTACTTAATAGGTGCTATGTATAAATGCTAGCTATTATTATTATTATTATTGTTATTATTGCAAGCATGATAACATTGAAACACAAAAATAATTCATATTAATGTGTGAAAGGATAATAAGTTTAATCATCCCATTGAATTTTTAAAAGAGTAGCTTTTTAGCCCAAATTAATCTTTAATTGGTTGACTAGTGTGCAGCCTTAGGCAAGTCCCTTAACCTCTCTGGGCCTCAGTTTCCCCTCTGTAAAATGAGGGGGTGGGCAAGATGACCTCTGAGGTAACTTTTACTATTAAGTCAATGACTCTATGGGGTGAGATTTTTTTTTTAGGTATTTTGTTGGAACTGTTAAGCAAAGGTTGAATGACCGTATGTCAGGGATATCATAGAAGGGATTCCCACATAGAGAGGTTAACCTGAGATCACTTCCAATTCTAAGATACTTTTTTTTTAAACAGCAGAAATTCCACCAACAACACATTTTCAAGTTTTAATAACTATTAATCTGATATTTGTCATCATTTACAAAGTAATTGTCTTTTTTTTAGATTTACTTACGGATTAGTACTTATTGTGAAAGTTGGGTTTCTTACAACAATAATAACAGCAATAATAATAAAAAATGAGATAAAGTCAACTTGCATTAAGATTTTAGATTTCATTTTCCCCCTTTCCTAAAAACGTTAGTGATGCTTGTTAATCGACCAAAAATAGACCTAAGCTTTCCCCTCTAATACTATTCCCTTCTGAATTCAATTCAACAAACATTTACAAAGTAATTGTCTTAATGGGAATGAATGGTCTAATAAAATGTAGGGTTTGGAAAGGAAAGCTGTTGTCGGATGTAGGAGAGGAAGAGTTAAAGCAAAAATGGGAAGAATATGAAGAAATTGAAAATGAATGTCTTAGTGGAGCAAGTAGGTGGGTAGCCTCCCAAACCAAACCCTTATTCCCAAAGTTGTATAAAAATTTTGTATGATTTTTTTTCTTCATACACTTGGTTTTTTTCTATGTGGATGGTCATATGTCAGAAGGAAGTGAGGAAAGTCTCCAGCACGTTGGGTGGACCTCCTATGATGAAATTATGGGAGGATATAGGCAGGATGCATATAGGATGGGCAGACATAGATGTATTGCTATCTTCTTCCTTGGGGAGAACATCTAAAATCACTGAGACTGAAGATCCATTTAAGTACTGAGAGGGTAGAATAGTTTGTTTTAAAACCCTGTCCCATAGGGGCAGCTAGGTGGCTCAGTGCATAGAGTTCCAGCCTTAGAGTCAGGAGGACCTGAGTTCAAGTCTGGCCTCAGACACTTAACTAGCTGTGCAACCCTGGGCAAGTCACTTAACCCCGATTGCCTCACTAAAAAGCTTAAAAAAAAACCCTGTCCTAGAATTGAGACATGTTTTGCTGTTATATTTTGGGGTGGTACTTGAATTACTTGTGAAAGATTCTACTTACAGGAGCACAGCCCCTCTAGAACTCTACTTAGGGTCCTGGCTTGCCTTGAGAATATCCTTCTCATTGTTCATCTTACCCTGGAGCAGGGGAGTGCCAGAATAAGAAATAGCTTGGCATTGTGCAAAATTCAGGAAGTATTTGGGCCAGGATAGGCTAAGTGAAAGGCAGAACTAGCATCAATTTTAATTCTTACTTGCACTTACTTGCATTTACTCTATTCTCCAACACCTAGCCCTTCGAGTGCCTGGGAAGCATTTCTCAAAAGCTCTTTTGTTCTTATTGTAGGTGTGTGTGGCTGTTGTGGTGCCCTTCGCCCCCGATACAAGAGACTGGTTGACAACATCTTCCCTGAGGACCCGGAGGTAGGTTGGTCCTCCCTTCCTATCATAGACCCATAGAATCTCAAAGCTAGAAAAGACCTCAGAAGTCATTAGCTGTCCAAAAGTCAAGTGGGCTGCCTGAGACCAAGGAAGGGGACTCCCCCTCATTGAACCCAAGGATGGATGATCCCTTATCAGCTTGGTACAGTGAGAATTCCATTCAGGTATGGGTTGGGCTAAGTAGTCACTTAAATCTCTTCGAAATCTAAAACTTCTGGGATTCTGTAATTCATCCAGTCTACCTCCCTACATGAATCCACACCTACAATATTCCTGAAAAGTTGTAATCTAGCTCTGATTATAGGCCCAGTGACAGGTAGAACATTTGGACAGACTTTATTACTAGATTTTCCCTTTATTAAGGCACCCACTTTCCTAGTTTGGCCCTCTGGGGCTGAGCAAAACAAATCTATCCCCTCTCTCATATCACCTATTACTAGCTTCCCCCAAATGTTCACATCTGGCATTCTGTCAGATGCTGGTATGATAGCTACTCTCATCCTTTTGGAATAATAGAGCAAGGCGGAGCCTGGGAAGACTTGGTGGAGATCTCAATTTTTGCCAGCATGTCTCCTTAGGGCCCTTTATCACTGCTTATTTCCAGACAGACAATCAAATCACTGGCCTGTAAGGAATAGGACTATTTTTCTGAACTTTGGGGGTGGCATTTATAACATTGACTTATTCTGATTTTTGAGTAGGGGAAACTTTGAACTACTTTCATTCTTTTCCTTTGGTTGGGAGGATGGAAATAGCTTGCTCACTGATTATGTAGTAATAAGATTAGAGCACCAATATCAGTAATGAATGTTATTTGTAGAATGCTTTATGGTATCCCATTTGAGCCTCACAACAACTGTACAAGGTTTGTTCTACAGTTTTTCTTAATCTCCTTCTTACAGATGAGGAAACTGAGGCTTCGAGAACTTAAGTTAGCCTGGTGCCTGGTACATAGTAAGCATTTAAATACATTATATGTTATCTTAAGTGACTTGTCCCTGGTCACAGACCTAGTAAATGTCAGAGGCAGGATTTGAACCCAAGTCTTCCTAACTCCAAGTCCAGCACTGGGTTTAAAACCTACTATTTAAATGAAAGGCTTGCCTGATTGATGGAAAGGAAGCCAAGGGTTGTAGAATAGGCAAAGGAACTAAATCCAGCATGTTGGAGGTGGAGGGGTAGGGATAGGACATCAGTCCTAACTACTTTTGCTTTAAAATTGTCCTCCATTAGGTATTCAGTATCCTTCATAATCCATCGTCCACCTACTTCTAAACCTACAGCACAGATCATGAAATTATAAATAGATAGATGGATAGATAGGTGGATAGGTAAGTAAATAAACACAAATATATTAGTGATCAGAAACAGAAGAAACCTTACTGTTGTGGGAATGGGGAGGGGAGGAACCTCTAAAATAGTCTCATTGTTATGTATTTCATAGTCTTGACTCCAAGAATTATGATATTCTCTTTATACTGCTTCAGCCTAATTCAGACTTTGTAGGTCATTGCTAGGTGATAAGATGTTCATATTTCAGTCTATCGCCCAGTGGTGTGGTCAATGAATCTAGGTCATATTATTTATATTTTGATTCAAGAATCTTCCTAGATGTAGGCATGGTAGGTATGACCATGTACTGTCTGTGTCTTTATAGGATGGCCTCGTGAAAACCAACATGGAGAAGCTGACCTTCTATGCCCTCTCAGCTCCAGAGAAGCTAGACCGGATTGGTGCCTACCTCTCTGAAAGGCTTATCCGTGATGTGGGCCGCCATAGATATGGGTAAGCAGTGTGAGAAGGTGGAGCACTGATTTCTTAATAGTTTATAGAGTATGGTTAGAGCCACAGTATGAGGACACTTTATGAAAATTATCAGATACTTCTCAATTATTCGTTGAAGTGATACCAGCCGGGCCTGACCTGGGATTCAGGTGGCTTGTTAGCTATCTCAAGTCAAGCATTAGTTTGGGTTTGTTTCTGTCACCAGTTCTTGAGTGTAAAGAGAAGTTGACTTTCTGTTGATTGCATCATCTAGCATTCTTCCCCACCCCATGTATAGAGCTCTTATTGAGAGTATTTGTGGCCCAATCAGACCCAAATTTGCTATTGTCCCTATCAAACCTACCCAACTATATCTTAGCAAGAAGCACAGACTATAAATTGAAAAATTAATTATAAATTATAATGATTATAAATTGATTATAAATTGAAAAAATAATATTTAATTTTTAAAATGTATTGATTGCTGTTGCTTCCCTGCTATGACACAGGGGCTCAAGATTTTTTTTTTTACGTCTGCATGTAGAGGAGTGACTATATATACAACTTGACATTGCCAGTGGGTGGAGGAAATTGGGAAGATTCAAGGAAGTAAGAGTTTGACAAGGTTGGCAAAATTAAGAATTGGGGTACAAGAAGGGACAGCAGTGGTGGTAGGGGCTGTGGCAAGAACAAAATTGGCCAGTGGGACAGTATCCCCATAGGTGGAGATGATTGGAATAAGTAGCCTGGACAAAGGAGTTAGGGTTGAACTAGGGGGTATTTGCTAGGTATACTTGGAGTGACAATTCTTAGGGGAAGACCCCCTCTTTAATTAAGTGGGCTATCAATTTAATAAATACAAATGGCCATTTCATGAATGGGGAGCAGAATTTTCCAGTTTCCAAAGTGGAAATCAGTCTTCTTTTCCCCCCATACTGCTTATTCTTTCCCTGTCTCTCTCTGAGTGTCTGACCCTACACCTATCCTCAGATCTTGGTGCCGATCTTTCCTTTTTTTTTTTTTTCCTACCTTACATTCCTGTGCCTGCACAAGTAGTTCCCATTTTACTCTAATGTGGGCTCCTAGAAAGTAAAACATAAATCAAATCCTATTTCTCTACAGGAACATTATTGTAATTGGAGGTTGCATTCATGACTAAGGCTTCTGCATCAAATAAATCATGAATACAACCAACATAAATGCAAAGATACAGCAACTATAAACCCTAATTATCATTTAAAAGAGTGCATTTGTACTCCCAGTCTAATAAAATGGGCATAAATGTAGATATGTATCGATTATATGAGGGGCCCTGATGTGTTGTAAAGCACACTTAGAATACATAAAGAAAAGCGACAGCATGCGAGCTAGTGTAAGCATTCAACATTTAATTAACAGTAATTTTCTTTGCCTTCTTGAAATTTATAAGGACTCTGGGGATGATTCAGATGGCCTAGATCTCTTAAAAAAAAAAAAACAACCTACCCAGGGAATTTTGAATCAAAGCCTTCACTTTTTTTTTGTTGTTGTTGCCTGTAAATTTCCTTATCCCAAGTAGAGGCATTCTGTGATATTTAAAAAGTTTGAGAGACATAATTTCTGGGTAATTTAATCATTTTATTAATTTTTATTTAATTATTTTGTTAATCATTTTATTAATAATACTAGCATCTTAAATAAAAGGGCCAGTGACACTCTCAAATGCCAAAGGCAATCATGGCAGTGGGCTCATGGCTTATATACCCTTTGGAAGAAGGGTGTTCCCAAGGGTGGCAGTTAACTCTGATTGGTTAGCAATTAATGAGAGAATGAATATTATAATAAGGAACCCAGAGAGTGACCTGAGTCAAAGAGAGACTATCCCTATACCCAGACCACCCCCAGCCTCAGGCAGTCTATTCAAAGAATTTATCCCCACCTAAATCTGAGTACAGCACAAAGGCTCCCCCACCTGGATAGGGTCTGAACATCATTGTTTAAAAAGTTAATTCAATGTCATTATCAGTAATGTCCTTCAAGAGACTGAACTTTTGAAATCAGGACTTTAGAAAAAGGAGAACTTAAATTATTGGTTATCAATAATTATTTCTTTCAATTCAAAACCATTCCCTTGATATTAAAAGCAATGTGATTGGGGTTGGTCCTTGGGGGAAAAAACAACAAATATTTGTGGTGGCAGCCAAGAAATAATAGACAGAGCCTGCTTTAGAGTCAGGAAGGCCCAAGTTCACTTCCTGATTCTGACCCTAGGCAAGCCTCTCAGACTGTATATTGAAAAGCAGGTATTCACTTGCATTGGTGAAGGAGGTTTCCATGGTAGAAGTTCTCTATGCTAATGAAATCATAGATTTGGTCCAAAAAGATTCCCAACAAGGGAGGTTCAGTTTGGTAGTGGGGGTAAGGGAGTGGGTTGCTTTCAGAAATGACTTGTGATATAAAAACAAGACATCAATAAAACTTTTTAAAAATTGCCTTTCAAATGTCCAAGTTTTTGAAGTCCACTTCCCTTCCCCACCAGGGACTTGAATTGTGAATATTTGGAGAAGAGGAATCTACTTAGCCTTGGCCCTCTTTTTTGTCTTTTCTCTGTTCTTCCCTTTGCCTTCCTACCCAAAGTTCAGGGGCCACCTTGAAGAAGAAAGATCAAAAGTTAAGGCTCATTCCTTTGCCTAGTGATGCCTTTAGTAGTGATGATGATGAGATGTTTGGTAGCTGTTTGGGTGGACTGAAGATTCAATGCTTGCTAACCACTATTCAGCAGAGGTACCTCCTTTTCCCCACTCCTGCTGCCCTTCTGAGTCACTGCCGGGCTCCAGCAGTGGGAGCACCTGTTTCTACATTTTATGTGGAAACTGGAATATATAATGAAGGACAGGTGTGCCTATAGACAGCCTATAATAAATTAGGGGCAGCAGGTGGGAGATGGAGGGGAAGGAAGATATATTTAATGGGAAGGAGTACAAAGCAAACAAAGTCCAGGACTGTCTGTATTCACATCTTTCCTGTTATTCTGTAAGAGCCTGACTACATAACCTAATACCTGCAGGCCAAGAAACAACAGCAATTGCACATTTAGTATGAAATTAATATACTAAAGCTAGCATGAATTACTAAAATGTAGTAATTTTAGCATTACTAAAAAGAATACTTGTAGTATTTAGTAGGTTGAGTCTGTCCACACACTGCTGTTTTTTTGTTTTTTTTTTTTTTTTTTGTTGTTTGCTTTTTGGTGAGGCAATCGGGGTTAAATGACTTGCCCAGGATCATACAGCTAGTAAATGTCAAGTGTCTGAGGCTGGATTTGAACTCAGGTCCTCCTGACTCCAAGGCTGGAGCTCTATCCACTACACCACTCAGCTGCCCCAGTCCACACACTGTTTGAGGGCTAACTACTAAGCACCTTGTACTCAAGGATAAATAAATTTTTACTGATATTTGTTAGGGTTTTTTTATGTCACCAAAATTTCTTCTAGTATTCCTTGCCCTCCTCCTTCCTAGAAAGCCTTCCCATGTAACAAATAATATTTTTAGAGGAAAAAATTCATCACTACAATAGAAAAAAATCTGAAAATATATACAATGTACCACACTTGTGAACCTCCCCACCTCTGCAAAAGAATGAGGTGAGAGTGTCCTCTTATATCTCTTCTTGGAAACCATTACTATTCTTTATAATTTTGTAACGTTTACTTTTGATTATTTTGTAATTGTGATTTCCATTTACATTATTATAGTCGTGCATATCGTTTGCTTGGCTCTGCTTATTTCACTTGGCATCAGTTCATGTAAGTCTTTCCATGATTCTCTACATTCATCATATTTGTCATTTCTTATAGCACAGTAATATTCCATTACATTCATGTATCTTAATTTGTTTAACCAATCTGCATTTTATGGACATTTCCTTTGTTTCCAGTTCTTTGCTACCATAAAAAAAAATGTTATTATGGGTAGCTAGGTGGTGCAGTGGATAGAGCACTGGCCCTGGAATCAGGAGGACCTGAGTTCAAATCCTGCCTCAAACACTTGACACTTCAGACTTACTAGCTGTGTGACCCTGGGCAAATCACTTAACCCCATTGACTAGCAAAAACAAACAACAAAAAAAGTGCTATTATGTAGCTCTTTTTGTGGCGGCAAAGAATTGAAGTTGAGGGGATGTCTATCAATTGGGGAATGGCTGAACAAGTTGTGGTTTGTGATTGTAATGGAATACTATTGTGCTATAATAAATAGTGAGCAGAATGAATTCAGAAAAACCTGGAAAGATTTATATGAACTGATGCAAAGTGAAATGAGCAGAACCAGGAGAATATTGTACACAGTAACAGCAATACTGTAAGATGATCAGTGGTAAATGGCTTAGCTATTCTCAACAACACAATGATCCAAAACAGTTGCAAAGGACTCATGATGAAAAATGCTATCCACCTCCAGAGAAAGAACTGATGGAGTCTGAATGAAGATCGAAGCATACTATTTTTCACTTTTTTGTGGGGCTTTTTTTTGGGGGGGGATCTGTGTTTTCTTTCACAACATGACTAACATGGAAGTATGTTTTGCATGATTGCACATTATAATCTATGTTAAATTGCTTACCGTCTTAGGGAGGAAGGGAAGAAAAAAATCTAGAACTCAATTTTAAAAATTAAAAATTGTTTTTATAGGCAATTGGGAAAAAGTAAAATATTATTCAAAAAAAGTGCTGCTATGAATATTTTGTTGTATTAGGGCCTTTCTCGTACTTAAGAGTGTGTTACCAGGAGTCTGTGAACATATATTTTTAAAGAATAGTTTGATAAATGTGTTTCAATATAATTGGTTTCCTTTGTCATCTATTTAAATTATTTTTCTTTTTTAATTTTCAGTTTCAAATTCACTTCCTCCCTCCATTCTTTTCCCAACCATTGAAAAGGCAAGAAATACAAGACTCATTTTACATATGAAGTCAAGTAAAATATTTTCGTATTAGTCATGCTGTGGAAAAAAAGAGCCAGAAAAACAAATAAAGAAAAAATATGCTTCAATCTACACTCAGAGTCCATTCAGTTCTCTCTCTGGAGGCAGATGGTAGTTTTCATTATGAATCTTTTGCAATTGTCTTTTATCATTGTATCAGTCAGAGTAGCTAAGTCTTTCACAGTTGATTACCATTAGGGGATTGCTGTTACTTTGTACAATATTCTGCTCGCTTCACTTTGCATCAGTTCATGTAAGTCTTTCTAGGTTTTTCTGAAATCGTCCTGCTTGTCATTTCTTATAGCACAATAGTACTACATTACAGTCATAAACCACAACTTGTTCAGCCATTCCCCAATTGAATCTCCTCAATTTCCAGCTCTTTGCCATCACAAAAAGAGCTCCCCCTTTCCCAAGCTCGTGTCTGCACCGTGCTGCCTCCTGTCACTAACTACTTGACCAGATCTGGCAGTCCTTGATGAGACACATAAATAGATAGGGAAACAGAGCCAGAAAAGCATTGTATTATAAATTTGAAGAAAATTGAAACTGGAGAACCCTGGAAGACTGAGGTCTTGTAGATGATGATTTTTCTCCAGATCTATAGGTTTTAGGAACTAATTGGAAACACATCAAAGCAGAGTACAATGGAAGGAGCATCGGCCCTGGAGGCAGAGGTTCTGGGTTCAAATCCTGGCTTTGCCAGTTATTACCTTTATGTTCATTTGTGTACAGTGCTTTGCGACAGTGTTGGCCTCTGTCTATGGGGTTTTCTTAACAAAGATACTGGAGTAGTTTACCATTTCCTTCTCCAGTTCTTTTTATAGGTGAGGAAACTGAGGTAAACAGGTTAAGTGATTTGCCCAAGATCACACAGCTAGGAAGCTTTTGAGGCTGGATTTTTAAACTCAAGTCCTCCTGACTCCAAGCCTAGTGCTGTCTCTACTTCACCACTCTTTAGAGCTGCCCTCTTTATAGCTTTGGGCAAGTTACTTGATGCTCCTGGGCTTGTTTTCTCATCTGTAAAATAAAAGAATTGGAATAGAGGGCCTCTGAGGACCTCTCAGCTCTGGAGCTAAGATCCTTTGATCCTGTAATTTCCTACCCTCCCTTTCTTCTCTTCCATCTCCCCCTTCCATGTGTTGCAGAGAAAATACCCGTGTGTTTTTTTCATTAATTTTAAAAAGTGAGTGGCTGAATTTGGTAGAACAGTATGAAAGCTTCTCTGTCCCTAAAATATCTGGATTTGGAGACAGAAGATTGTGGATTCAAATACCAGTCATGCTATTAATTACCTGTCACCTTAGGCAAGATGCTTAAGGGGGTGGGGAAGAGGGAAGAAGAAGGGAGTAAATGTTTATATAGCACCTACTGTGTGCTAGGTACTGATTAAGCACTTTACAAATATTATCTTATTGGATCCTCCCAACAGCCCTATGAGGTAGCTATTATTGTTACCCCTGTTTTACAGTAGAGGAAATGGAAGATTCAGTGACTTGCCCAGGGTCACACAGCTAGTAAGTATCTGTGAAGCTGAATTGGAACCTGGGCTTTCCTGACTCCAGGCCCATGCTCTGTCCTCTGAGCCATCTTACTTGGCACATAGTAGGTACTTAATAAATGTTTATTGGATGAGATGGGTCACTTAAACTCTTGGAACCTCCTATTCTTCATCTGTAAAATGGGTATAATAATAGAGTGGTCTCCTCATGGGATTGCTGTGAGATAATGGATGGTACTTAGCAAACTTTAAAGCACTATATAAATGTCATTACTCTATCTGGTATAGATTCCATATTTCTTAGATTTCCTCAAGTCAACAAACATTTTTTAAACACCTGTGCCAGGTACTGTGCTAAGCTCCAGAAATACAAATACAAGTGAAGAAAAAGATATTTCCTACCTTCAAAGAGCTTACATTCTAATGGGGGGGAGAGATAATACATAAAGAAAACTGAAAAGGGAATGGTGGTGGGAGTGTAGTTACCTGAGTCAGGGCATTGTAGAGAAAATCTAGAGAGTTAACTGCAGCCTAGAGAGGAAGGAGGGCATGCTGGCCTGAGGGTCCTCCTTAAAGTGAAGGTTCCAAGAAAGAGAGTCCCCAGAGCTGAAGGGTATGTGCAATATGTGAAGTCTATGAGATGAAGTAAACTTACTGGGTAAAGAGGTTTCTGGGTTATACAGGGGAAAAGGATTGACCCAAAAGTCAAGAGACCTGAATTCTAGTCTTTGCCTCCAAATACTTTGCTAGCTGTGTGACTTTAGGCACAGCATTTAGGATTATGGGAAACTTGAACATCTCTGGGCCTCAGTTATATTATTTGTAAAATGGCAACGATATTTGATCTGCTTGATAGCAGGGAGTTAGACCATATCATGGACTGCTAGGTGGTGCAGTGGATAGGGCACTGGACCTGGAATCAGGAGGATTTATCTTCCTGAGTTCAAATCTGGCTTCAGACATTTACTGTCTGTGTGACCTTGGGCAAGTCACTTAACCCTATTTTCCTCTGTTCCTCATCTGTCAAATGAGCTAGAGAAGGAAATAGCAAACCACTCCAGTATCTTTGCCAAGAAAATCCCCCCAAAAGGGGGTTGGATCAGGAAGAGTTGCACATGACTGAACTGCAAAAGGCCTTATCATTTCTTTAAAACCTTCCCTACTCTAACCTCTGATTCCAATAATGAGTAGGTCTCATCTGAAGTATTGTGTTCAGTTCTGGGTACTACAGTTTAGGAAGGGTATCGATAAACTAATGGAGGGCAGCCAGGATGGTGAAGAGCACTGAGTGCATGTCACATGATGACTGAAAGAAATGGGGGTGTTTAGTCTTGAGGTACTGAGTGACCTTGGAAGACATTCAGGGTTAATGTTTCTGACTCCTGTCCCCTATGTATGTCTTGCCCAAGGTGACAGGTAATAATAGCATGCCTGGTATTTGAATCCACGTCTTCTGTCTCCAAATCTAGAGATTAGATGTGTGTTCTCATTCACTGGAGTTGGGATAGGAAGACCTGAGTCTGTTGTCTCCTGGGAGCTGCCTCAGGCTTCCAAAACCAGGACAAAGGCTATTGAGGAATTGCATAGGGCATCTAGACTGCAATAATATCCATGATGCTTCTTTTTCCCAGCTATGTGTGCATCGCAATGGAGGCTCTGGACCAGTTGCTTATGGCCTGCCATTGTCAGAGCATCAACCTGTTTGTAGAAAGCTTCCTGAAGATGGTGGCCAAGCTGTTGGAGTCTGAGAAGCCCAATCTGCAGATCCTAGGCACAAATTCGGTAAGCAGAGCCTGAAGGAAGGGTGGGGTGGGGGAGGGGGGAGTGGTGGGGGGAGGGCAGGGCCTGTTTGGGTGTCCCAGCCAACATGAAAGGTAAGGAGTAGGGCACCCAGATTTCTTAAAAAAATTTTTTTTCTTAGGTATCTGGACCACTGAGTTCAATTCTCCATTCTCTGACCCTAAATCAACTAATCAACATTTATTAAATGCCTACTATGTACCAGGCTAAGTGCTAGGGATACAAAAAGAGACAAGAGAATCTCTGCCTGCAAGAATCTTACAATCTGGTTGGGGAGATGGCATGCAAACAGATATATACAAGCAAGCTGTATATGGTTTAAAGTGGAAATGATTAACAAAGGGAAAGCACTAGAATTAAGTGGGGTTGGGAAAGGCTTGCTCTAGAAGGTGGGATTTTAGTTGGGACTTAAAAGAAAATCATGTTTCTCTTTGTCCATAATAACATGGGGGAAGTGATGCCTGGTCCATCCTTTCTGAAGTTAAGTAAATGAATATCCATGAGACAGTTTGTCCACATGTACCTTGAAATATATATACTTAAGACAACATAGCAGAAAAAAAAATTCTACTGTAGGGTTAGGATCTCCAGATTTTAGTTCAGGCTCTGCCACTAATGATCTGGACAAATCACTCCATTTCTCTGTTGACTCATCTTTAAAATGGGGTCAGAGAGGTTGGGGCTAGATCAGGTTTGTTTTAACTTCTCTTACTCTTACTCAACTTCTATTACTACCATTTCTATGTGTTTGTTTTGCTCTGCAAGGACATGATAATCAAATTATATAGTCATCTCAACAAAATGGTAGTGGGAGAGGAAGGGAACAAGCATTTAAGTTTCTACTATGTGCCAAATGGCTAGGTACAGTTAGGTGTCTCAGTGGATAGAATGCCAGGCCTGGAGTCGGGAAGACTTTTATCTTCCTGAGTTCAAATCCAGTCTCAGACACTTACTAGCTGGGTGACCCTGGGCAAGTCACTGTTTGCCCCAGTTTTCTCACCTATAAAACAAGCTGGAGAAGGAAACTACTCCCGTATTTTTTTTTCCCAAGAAAACCCCAAATGGGGTCATGAAGAGTTGGACATAACTGAAAAACAACTGAACAACAACATATATAAAAAGCTTAGAAGATATCTGATTAAGTCTTGCTGAGTTAATTCATGTTTCAACTGTGGGACAGCTAAGAGCTGTTAGCTGTGTAAGCAGATCATAAATTTAGACCCCAAAGGGTCCAGGGATGTCATCTAATCTAACCCCTACAGATGAGGAAACTGAGGTCCAGAAAGGTTGAGGGATTTGCCCAAGGTCAGAGAAGTAGTAAGTAGCAGAGAGAGAATTTGAACCAAAGTCAAAGTGGACTCCAAATCAAGTACTCTTTCCATCAGACCAAGCTGTGTTATTTTGCCTGTGACAAGTAATTAATCTACTTCATTCAGTCAACGTGTGGGTCAGTAATAGATTGGGTAAATGAGTAAGAATTGGGAGCAGAGACTGAACTTGAGAGGGCTGATGATTGATAAAGTGAGTAGGAAAAAGGGTGAGTGGTCAATAAATTGATCACCAAATGCTGGTAAGACTACATACACACATGCACGCACACACTCACAAACCAGCAGGCAAGGTCTTATGATCTAGTCCCTCATATAAAATAATCACCAATAATAATCATTCAACAAGTATTTATTTTTTTATTTTTTTTTATTTTTAGTTTTCAACATTTACTTCCACAAGATTTTGAGTTCCAAATTTTCACCCCATTTTGCCCCTCCCCCACCCCAAGATGGCATGCATTCTGAATACCCCTTCCCCTAGTCTGCCTTCCCTGCTATCTCTCCACCCCTTCCCCTTCTATTTTCCTGTAGGGCAGGATAGATTTCTGTACCCCATTTCCTGTATTTCTTATTTCCCAGTTGCATGTGAAAACATTTTTTTTAAACATGTTTTTTTTTAAACTTTGGGTTCCAAGTTTTCTCCCTTCCTCCCTCCCCACCCACCTTCATTGAAAAGGCAAGCAACTCAACATAGGCTGTACTTGTGCAGTTATGCAAAACACTTCCATAGTAGACATGCTGTGAAAAACTAACTCTATTTCCTTTAATCCTATCCTGCCCCCCCATTTATTCTATTCTTTCTTTTGACCCTGTCCCTCCTCAGAAGTATTTGCTTCTGATTACCCCCTTTCCCAATCTGCCCTCCTCTCTCTCATCCCCCAACTCTCTTGTCCCCTTCCCCTCCTATTTTACTGTAGGGTAAGACAGATTTCCATACCCAATTGAGTGTGTACTACAAGTATTTATTAACCACTGACTGCATGCTAGGCATTAGTACTATAAAGTCAAAAATTAAATAATCCCTGCCCTCAACAGAGATGGGGGCCAGTCCCATGATTTCATCAGGCATTGGGGCTCTCAGGGTGGGGGTAGGTGTGTGAGAAGGATTTCTTTGATTGTGAAGGAACATACCGATGATTAGTATTTAGAACAGAATCAAAAGTCGAAAGGATCATAAAGATCATGTAGTACAGGGATCTCTAATTTGTGGCCTACTGCTCTTGAGTTCTTTGCGGCCCTCAAGTCAAATTTTGTAGCTGGGTGGCACAGTGGACAGAGTTCTGTGTGAAGTCAGGGAGACCTGAGTTCAAATATGACCTTGGACACTTGCTAGCTGTGAAACCCTGGGCAAGTCACTTAACCTCTGTTTGCCTCAGTTTCCTCAGCTGTAAGATGCAGAACAAAATAGTGCCTTACCCCACATGGCTGTTGCAAGAATCAAATGAGATAATTTATATCAAATATCAAATGAGATATTTAGAAAGGGCTTAGCACAGAGCCTGGAAATGACATCGTTGTTCAGTCGTGTCTGACTCTCTGTGACCCTATTTGGGGTTTTCTTGGCAGAGATACTGGAACAGTTTGCCATTTCCTTTTCTAGCTCATTGAGGAAACTGAGGCAAACTGATTTAAGTGACTAGTTCAAGGTCACTCACTCAGCTAGTGAGTGAGGCCAGATTTGAACTTAGGAGTTTAATGATTATGTTTAGGGCAGACTTAAAAGAAATAAACTCAGAAGACTAAAAGATAAAAGGTATAGCCTACCTATATTAACTCCTTATCATTTTTAGTAATTTTCCTCTTTTATAAAAAAAAAAAAGGAAACCCAACTTTCACTCTCTTGGTTAACTTTGTATTAAAAATCTTCCTAAGATCCCCTTCCTCACCAAGTCCCAGCAATTTATTCCAACCTCTCCTAGCTTTGCAGTTGCTTAGCATTAAATTACCAGCTTTTCTAGCCCCAATTCTGCTCTTCTTTAATCTCTCCCTCATTTGACTACCACAAGGAAGAAATTGCCAGCAAAGAAGAAAAAAAAACTCCACAACATTTTGACATCTCTCTTTCCAGCTTCCTGAACAATGACCTTTCTAGGTTCTTTCTATGGGGAAAGCACAAAGATTCTACCTGGGAGATGTGGAATTCCATGTTTTACCTTCCCCCAAACAGCAGAAGGAATTTTTCTATATTTTTCTCTCTAACTGCTAACTAAACCCTTTCTTTCCTCCTCGTTCTTTGTCTGGAAGCTACCTATGCATAAATGTTTTGACATTTATTCATAGCAGCTAGGGATCCATACCATTTTAAAGTTAACAAAGTATTTTGTGTACATTATCTTATTTGAGTATCACTAATGTCAGTGGCTGACATTTATAAAACACTTTAAGATTTGCTAAGCACTTTATATACATTGCGTCTTTTGATCCTTATAATCAGCCTGCAAAGTCAATAGTTATTATTATAATTCTCTATTTCACATACAAATGATGCTAAGCAAACTTAGGCTAGTCATTAGAAGAGCATGGATTTGAACCTAGGTCCCAATTAGATTAGATTAGAATACAGTTACTCAGTCTAGGTGAGAGGTGATGAAGGACTGAACTAGGACCATATATGTGTGAGTGAAGAGAATGGGATGGACAGGAGGAAACAAAACTTAGTAAATGATTGGATATGGGAGATGAGGGAGAAGGGAAAGTCAAGGATAACTCTGAGATTGTGTTGAGTGATAGCAGGCCATGGCAGTCCAACAGAGAGGCCAGGAATGACAGTTTTGGCTAGATAGATTGCAAGAACATTGTCATGTCTTTGTGTATAGAAAAGTGCTCATAATATGGCACCTACACTTGCTTCTGTGTAGATGTGGGGGACTATAGGTATGGAACACTGCATATAATATCTGACTTTTTTGATTTATTAGTTAATTTTACTGAATTTTTTTCTCTCTTTGGTTTTGTTTTTTTTAAAGGATTGCTTTCTGGAAGAAGGAAGGACAGATACACTGGGAAATGCAGATAATGTAAAAAAAATATGAAAAAGAATTTTAAAAATTTAAAGGAATACATTATATAAAAAATAAAGTAATGAAAGGGCTCATGAATATAGAAACATAGTTTTATGAACATCATACTGTATTCTGGCAGGGAATTTAGGAGATCATCTAGTCCAGGGATGGGGAACCTCTGGCCTCAAGGCCACATGTAACTCTCTAGGTCCTCAAGTGCAACCCTTTGACTGAATCCAAACTTCACAGAACAAATCCCCTTAATAAAAGGATTTGTTCTATAAAACATATGGCCTTGAGGCCGAAGATCCCAGGTAGAATCTCTGGACATGTGGCCTTGAGGCCACAGGTTCCCTACCCCTGATCTAGTCCAATGCCCTCATTTGCTGATGAGGAAATTGAAATTCAGAGAGGTTAAGTGACTTGCCTAATGTTACATAGCTGGTCTGACTGGAGTCAGAAATGTCTTCCAAGACCCTCTCCAGGACAATTTTCTCACGAACCCTCCTGCTTTATATCTAGATGGAAATGTGCAGGAGAAAGGAGCAGAAAGTAGGATTCCAAGTAAGAGGGAGAGTTCAGATTCTAAAAGGTGGAAAAAGACAAGCAGGAACAAAGAAATCAACACAACCCTATGAAACAGGGTTGTGGTGAATGATTATAGGCAGAGACTGTGATCTCTGTCTTTTAGGTTTTATGTCCTGTTTGAGCCATAAACGGTTGGCATCTTTGTGTTTTGAGTGAGGAAGAGGCTGAACTCTACAGGTCCCAGGAGCTCTGGCTTGTAGCAGAAGGCTGAGGAGATCTCCTGGGAAGCTGCAGTAAACACAAGCATAAATAATCTATTGCTGTTTTGTAAAACTATAGCAACAATAAGCCTCGCTTCAAGACTTAAAAAGGATCATGACCCTGTGAGGTTGCTAGGAAAGGCAGGCATTATTATTCTACTTTAACAGAAAGGGAAGCTGAGGTTCAGAGGATTTAACTATTTGCCCCAAATCACACAACTAGTAAATGCAGAGCTTATATTTTAACTTGGGCCTCCTGACTCCAAGACCATATAGACACATGTAAGTATTATGAATTTATGGATGTGGGAAGAATAGATAATTCGGAGAGGAAGTATTGGAGTCACATGGGGGACCATTTGGGTAGTGCTTTATGAAGATGAGCCTTGCAAATAATTTTTTACTTTTATTTTTTAAAATACATTGTTTATCTATTTTTACATCCCCTTCAATGGCAACTAGGTCTCAGTTCTGAAATGTTATTTACCTTTGTGGAAAAACAGAATTGACTCATTCTGTGCAGCTCCAGGGGCAGCAGTGGATAAAGCGCCAGGACTGGAGTCAGAGATACCTGAGTTCAAATCTTCCCTCAGACACTTACTAGCTGTGTGATCCTGGGCAAGTCACTTTACCCTGTTTGCCTCAGTTTCCTTATCTGTAAAATGATCTGGAGAAGGAAATGGCAAACTACTCCATTATCTTTGCTAAGAAAACTCCCCAAAATGGGTCACAAAGAATTGGACCTGAGTGAAATGATTGATCAACAACAACCTCTATCAATGAAGATTTGATGCCAGAAAATGGGTAGTATAGCTCTTAGCTATTTTTTAAAAAGTGTTCTTGGTACAGATGAGCTGAGAGACCCCTGAAAGAAGAGGGGAGTTTAGCTCAAATGTCTTACTTCTCTTCCTCTTTTCCTTTATATTCACCTTCTATCTCTGGGAAGTTTGTGAAGTTTGCCAACATAGAAGAAGACACTCCTTCCTATCATCGGAGCTATGATTTCTTCGTGTCACGATTCAGTGAAATGTGTCACTCCAGCCATGATGACTTGGAGATCAAGACCAAGTGAGTAGGTGGTGGGGGAGGAAGGCTGGGGAATCAGAACACTGTTCTGCTAATGACTAAGGCATAGAGAGATCTTCAAGGGATTTCTGATTATCCTCCCACCATTTAAAAAAAAATATGTATATATATAGCTAGCACCTGGGGCACCTCCACACACACACCTTATAGAATGGTTCCCCCAAAACAAGACTAGTCTAGGTTCAAGGTACTCTGGGTCCATTTTCAGTTTCTAGCGTTAGCTAGCTTCCTTGTCTGGAGAGCTAGCTCTTCCTCATTACTCATAATGGACCATGGCATACTCTTTCAGTTTAAAACTCATAGGCTTTTTGTCAGCTCTAGAAAGTAGCAACCCTTTACAAACAAATCTTACTAACAAAAATCCTTTTTAGGTAAAAACCATAACTTATGAGCCCCTACCAATGCATTTACCTTTATTGTTTAGACAATAGATGTAACTATTTCAAAGTAAAGGCATTTAATGAAATAGCATAGTAAGAAAAGTAGCAACACAGTGTTTCCCCCATAAAGCTGAGGTATATTTGTCTCACGACTATGCAGGCCATCTACTGTGGACACCCATAAAGATCACTGAAGAGATATATACATAGAGAATGTGTGGAGCTGAGGCATGCATTTGGTGGGGGGAAACAAATCTCTGATGTTGCAGAGCTTCTGACTTCTAGTAATGTCACTGCATCGTTCTCTCTGTGCTTGCCCTCTGCACCTTTCTAGAGGACGTGGAATCTCCACTTGGACACTACTTTGCTTGTCTTGTGGATGCTGCTAAGGCTAAGCTTATTTCTAATGAGTATGTGGTTATGGAGCTTCTGTGTATTTTCAGTTTCTAGTGTTAGCTAGCTTCCTTGTCTGGAGAGCTAGCTCTTCCTCATTACTCATAATGGACCATGGCATACTCTTTCAGTTTAAAACTCTTAGGCTTTTTGTCAGCTCTAGAAAGTAGCAACCCTTTACAAACAAATCTTACTAACAAAAATCCTTTTTAGGTAAAAAAACCAAACATTCCTACTTTTTTTTTTCCTTCAGGAAATGGTCTGGTTGTTCCTTTCAGAGTCTTTGCTAGAAAATGCTCAATCTTTAGTTGGAAATTCTTTTCCCCAGGTGCCAACCTCTTTAGAACAGAGCTGGGCCATTTCCTGGTAGTGCCCTCAGGTTTAGTTTCTGTATTAATTTTTCTTAAAGCAACCAGTTTCTTTTTGAGAATACTCAGCAAGTATTGAAAACAAACTTACTTTAAAAAAATACCAAAAAAAAAAAACAAACAGAAATAAGATACAGAAAATAGGCTTGGTGAGAGAGCCTCACAAAGTAGGAACCTGGGAGGTATGAGTCTCACCCCTCAGTTTTGTGCCTCTCTGTTTAATCTCTGATGTTTACACTACATCTTAACAAACATTCAGAGTAGAGGCTAGCCTCCCAATGAACTACCAAGGCATCTTGGGGTCCAGGGTCTTCCAGTGTCTACATTCCGAAACATCTGCCATCGTACCATGCAAACAAATGAGTGTATGTATGTGGATGTGTAGGGGGAATAAAATTAAGCCCAACAGGGCAAGGTCATTATCTTTCCCTTAGCTAGCAACATTGCTGCCTTTAGTATGTATACATTCTTTTCTTTATTATATATACATGGCTAGCCATGCCTTTTCAAGTTTTGTTACAAAAACAGACAGCTCTGGCCCACCCACTGTAGTTTGCCTCAGAAACTGTGGTTGTTGTCCCCCCTTTAGATGTTAGTGAAAAAAGGAACACTAAAATTGAGTTAAGAAAGGAAAAGGAGGAAAAACTGCATGAGGTCTTAGATTGGGAATCTGGGCAAAACTGTACCCCAAATAGATTAGTTTTTAAAAGACTTTTTAACAGGAAGAAGCATGATGAAAAAACCTCCTTTGACAAAATAGTGCCACATATTTAAAGTATATCTTTGAGCAAAGGTTAAGGTCATCCTCAAAACCAATTTGAGAGCTGATCACCTAGAATACACATACACACACACACACACTTCCATTTGTATGTGCACATACTCACAGAATACATGCACGGGTACACATAGTTACCTATAAGGACCTCTTTTGATGTTATGCCCTGATGCTTTCTCTCAATATAGATACCTACAGACAAACAGGGACAGATATAAACCCCATAAATGCACACAGGTATGCATAGATATGCCCCTGATACTAATACACATACATAATAACTTAATACAGTTTTGTAGATGTAAAGGTGCAGATATTTCTCTTCTTCATGGAAACATATCCCTTACATGCATCCTGCGGGTGATAAGGCCTGTGAGCTACTCAGATGGCAATTTCTGCACCAGGTGATGCTTTAAGTTCAAGCTCACAGCTGCCTTCATGAATCTATGATGGGGGCAGTGAATTCAGCCTTTTCTTTCCCCCTTCAACCTTTTTTTTTTTTACTGGCTGCCCAGGTTCTATCTTGCCTCATTGAGTATAGAGTTTAAAATATACAGATTATCACACAATATTTGACTCATGCCCCCATTCTTATTAAGATTCTTTCCTTCTTTCCAATTTGAGAGTACATTCATTGAATAGTTAGTAAGGAGATACACTTAAACTCCTGAGTAACTGGCAGTGTTTTTTTTTAGCAAAGTCTGAACTTCTATCTTTGTAGTGGTTGTAGCTGCTTCCCTTAATATTCAAGTTCTCAGTCTTACTTTCACCAAGGGACCATACAAGCCCAGAGGACACTTTCAGAGAAGAGTTATTAGCCAGCCCCCTCGAAATCATCAAGAAGGGAGGAGAGTCTTACCATGCATGGTGAGGGGTAATCCCTAGTCTGACTCCTGTAGAGTGAGTCATTTTCTGACCAATTGTTCCCTCCTCTTGACAGTCACTGGAGGGTCTTTCTGATGTCTTCAACATAACCATGAGTTGCCCTTATAGACTTAGAGTCCTTATGAATTCCTGTTAGTCTTTCTTCCCTTGTTGTGTCTTAAGCCAGCTTCCTCTGTTTCCTTATCTGGGCCTTTCTTTGCCCACTTGCCGTAAAACAGTCTACTCTCTTGGTTTTAAGTGTCCCTCTGTAGCACAGAACTAATGAACTTTTCTGTCAATTCCTTTTACCTAAATCTCTCAAGGCTGTACAAACCCTAGATACCTCCCCTCCCTTTGACACCTTCTGGATAGGAATGGTATAGGAAAACGCCAAGGAAAAAGGCTGAACTGGTACAGCACAAACATTTAGAGTCATATATAAATACGCACATAGGCACATTCATAGGTCACCACCCATTAAGTTACACATGTCACCTTCCTCTTCCCCCCTACCCCATTATAGGCAGATAGTTATAGAACTACACTCACATGGTATGATGGAAAGCCCACAAGATTTGTATTCAGATGACCTGGTTTCAAACCTCTCCCTGCCCCCCTTCACCATTAAATAGTGTGTGATGTCCCTTTACTTCTCCCAAGCCTTAGTTTCCTCATCTACAAAATGGGGATTAATATGCTATTTCTCAAAGCTGTTGTGAAGAAAATACTTTGTAAAACTTTCTGTAAATGTGAGGTGCTAAATTTTTGTCTGTTTCATGTGAGCTATTAATATGGGCTCATGTAAACATATATGTACATATGTATAAACATATATATACATAAATATATTATTCACTTTAAAAATATGTAACTATTTTCACAGACACTCACCCACATAGAAACATATCCCCCAGGTATAAACACATAGGTAGAAATGCACATTAATACCTGCCCACACAAATATATTCAAAGAAATATGCACTTGTACACGCAAGCACACGTATGTACAAATATCAATTGATATATTTTAGAGGATCCTGGTTTTACAGTTAATTTGTGCAGGCGAGACATAAATCTTTGCAGCACTTAAGGAACAAGAGAATACATAATAAAAGGATAAACTGTGTGATGCAGACAGCCAGTACAATATGACTTAAGAGCAAGGAGGGATGAATGTGTTACTGATAAAGCCTGTCCTTTTTGTGTTAGCACATCAAAATAAAATGGATGTCTGGATCAGAGTCTTTGAATCATGGTACATGTGAGGCTACTTTTATAGGATCGAAGGGTAGAAAGAACCTAACTTTTCCCCTTGTTAATTCCCCTTGTTAGTTGGTTCCCTCCCACTGACTCTGGGTTGCGAAGTGATTTAAAGAGGGGGAAATGAAGGCTTCCCAGGTCCACAAGGCAACTTCCATCTTGTCTCAGGAAGCCAGAGTGGAGCAAGAATATAGAAAGGCTCAGGAAGAGGGCCTAATTCTTTCTTCCTAGCTGTGCCATATCCCAGTTTCCTTCTTCCCAGAACAAGTCACCAAATTCCAGGTACCATGATTTCCCAATGGCTGCTGCTAGAGCCTACTACAAGTATATAAGAAACAACGAGCCTTCAGTAAGTAAAGTAAGTACTTCAATAAGTAAAGCCTTCAGAGCCCTCAGCCTTTGATAAATCCATGATCCACCTTACTCCAAAATAGCTAGGAAGTGGCAGTAAATTTAAGGATTCCTTTAAGTAGCTAAAGGTCTGGACATTCCTTTTATCATAGATATACTATTTTTATTTTTATTTTTATTTCATTATTATAATTATTATTGAGAGGTAGTGTGGCAAGAGGGAGGGGAGAGAGCTGGTCTAGGAGTCAGATAAACTTGCATTCGAGTCCTGCCCCTGACACACAGTAGGTGTGTCACACTGGGCAAATCACTTCACATTTCAGTGCCTCAGACAACTCTAAGACTATTAATTATCGAGCAGGCACCAGTGTGCATTGACAGAGCAAGCTGCTTCATGGGGCTATCTTCCTCTCACTGCCACCATCCATATACCCATAAGTTCTTCTTTTCTCTGAACTAAAAATTTTTATTTCTTTTAGCTGATCTTTATATGGCATGATCTTTCCACATTCTGGTTGCTCCCATGGATGCTGTCTAGGTCATCAAAATTCTTCCATAAATGAGGGTGCCCAGAACAATATTCAGATGTTATCTGAAGAGGGCAGGCTATAGTCAGTCAATCAACAAGTATTAAGTGCCTACTATGTGCCAGGCACTGGGTTAAGTGCTGAGGATACAAAGAAAAGCAAAAATCGTCCCTGCCCTTAAAGGATTGTATATTCTAATGGGAAGAGGTAACATGTAAATCACTATATCTATATGAGACATATACTGAGTAAGTTGGAAGTCATCTCAGAGGAAAGGCACCTGTAGAGGTGTTTGTAGGGAGAAGGGGGAGGAATTCTGGGAAAGGCCTCTTGCAGAAGGTGGGATTTGAGCTGGGTCTTGAAGGAATCCAGAAAAGATAAGAGTCTGAGGTAAGGAAAGATATGATGTTGGGAGATGAGTGTCTTGTATAAGAAACAGCAAGGAGGCAGATGTAGCTGGATTATAGAGTACATGGAGGGGAATGAGATATAAAAAGACTGGAAGATAGCAAATGGGCAGAGTGTGAAGGGTTTTAAATGCCAAATGGAAGACTTTCCTTTGGATCCTGGGTGATCATAAGTAGCCACTAGAGTTTATCCAGTAGAAAAGTGACAAAATCCTATCTGTACTTTAGGAGAATCATTTTCAAAACTGAATGAAGATGGACTGGAGTGAGGGAGAGTCACTCAGTCAACTAGCATTTATTAAGCACCTACTGTGTGCCAGGCAATGTGCTAAGTACTGGGGATACAAAGAAAGGCAAAAAACCCAACAGTCCCTGTTTTCACGGAGCTCACAGTCTAATGGGGGAGACACCATGTAAATAATTATGTACAGACAAGCTGAAGACAAGATAAACTGGGGGGAGTTTCAAAGGAAGGCACTCAGATTAAGGGAGCCTGGGAAAGGCTTTTTGTAGAAGGTGAAACTTTAGCTGAGACTTGAGGGAAGCTGGGAGGCAGAAATGAGGAAGGAAAGAATTCCAGGCATGGAGACAACCAGAGAAAATACTCCAAGTCAGGACATTGAGTGTCATTTACAAGGAACAGCAAGGGGGCCAGTGTCGTTGGAAGGGAATAAGCACAAGAAAACTGGAAAGAGAGTTATTACCTTCCTCCTTCTGGACAGTGAATGTAGCCCAAGTCACATCCAATCTATCTTTTTTGATCACCATATAATGTTGAGCTTACAGTCAATTCAAATGCCCCAAATCTTTCCCCCTCCCCCAATATGCCTCCCGTCTTCTGGTTGCAAAGCGCGGAGTTGTTGGAGTTTTTTTTTTCCCTGTTTATTTTTAAATTTAACAGGGATAGATCAGGGAAATTCCTGATCAATTTGACAAGTTCCCCAATCAACTTGATGAGATCCCTGGGTTGGAGGGAGTGGGACATGAGGCTTTGCTTGGAGGCATTTGAGTACCACCTCCCCTTGGAGGGTGGGCATGACCCAGTTGCTGAAATCTCATGGTCTGGGAAAGTCCACCTTAGGAACCTGAGTCTCTGATGTGTGCTCGGAAGTTGTGGGCAGATACATGCTCCTACCCCAAGTCAGCCATTTCAGTCTCTTAGAAGGGGGCAATAGATTCCTATCTACTTCTTCTCCACCCCGCCCCATCCCCAACCTCTGCCCTGCCCCCTCCACATACTAGTCTATATTCTGATACCAGCAGAGGTCAAACAGGAAACAAATAGATGACCCGGAATTGGAACTTAGATCCTCTTCCTCAAATCCTAGTCTTCTTTCTGTAATGAAATTTCCCCTCTAGATGTGAGCATGGCCTCATAGAAATGTCCTTACAACCAAGGTCAGGCTTCTTGGCAGTCAGTTCTCCATCAGGGGAAAGAGGGGGTTGGCATTCTGTAGCCTTCTGTTCCACAGACGTTAGTGGCTTGTTGGTGACTGACATCGAACAAGGCATAGCAATGACACAGTTTGGGGTTGCTGGAAACCCCAAATGTCAGTGTACAGGGCAGCGTTTGCCTGTAATGAATTCACTCACTCAAACCATCTTCCAGTCAAGTGACAAGATTTATTGTAATGCCAATAGAAGCAGGTTCCTAGGAACCTGCAACTTACTGGGGTTGAGACTGATGCTTATATACAAAAGGACAGTGAAAAGATCTGGATGGGATTAAGCAGTGATTGGTATATGCAAGTAGTCTGGAGTGGGTCAAGTGAGACAGTGAGAGGAATATCAAGTAAGCTAATTAGGTGATCTAGATGGGCTGGGGCGGGCCAGGTGCCTTGGGCAGAGGTGCCAGTGATCTGGGCTGCTGAAATGTATGGGAAAATTCAGGGACTGGGTTGCTTTAAAATACATGGTCTTTTCCTTTTAGGGGTCCAGGTATCATCATCCCATCAGGAATATGAACAATGTTTTCTTTGCCATATTCCGTTTTGTTTCTGACTGAGCCTCCAGGTCCTGGGAGAGCTAGAAAGTAAATTAGAGACCACCTTGTCCAGCCCCCTTCTTTTTCAGATGAGGAAACCGAGGCCTAGGAATGTAAGAACTCACCCAGGATCACATCAGTAGTAACAGTCCAAGACAAGATTTGAACCCAGATCTTTCTGACTCTGAGTCCAGCAAGCAGGCTGTCCACTGTGCCAAGCTTCCACCTCCCCCAGTTTGAGCAGAAGCAGGTTCTAAGTCTGGCAGCAAAGCCTGGAATGACTGCTCACTGAGAGCTAGAGCCAGAAGGTGCCACCAGGGGCTGGGCAAGCCTTGAAATGGGCAACTAGGATATTCTAAGACTCTGGTCCATTCTGGATGGAGTCTAAGCTTAGAACTATCTCACTTTTTTTGGGACATCTGGTCACTTGAAGTAGAATTGTTGAGGGCCTGTCCTGTGCCCTCTGGCAGCCTTGTCCTCACCTCCAGGGCACTTCCTTTTGCAGCCTCTTGCTTAGAAAGCTGATCTGTAAGGCTGGAAGCTCCTTGACACCACTTTGCCATTTTCCCCCCACAGGATCCGTATGTCAGGCATCAAAGGCCTTCAAGGGGTGGTGAGGAAGACAGTGAATGATGAGTTGCAGGCCAACATCTGGGACCCACAGCACATGGACAAGATTGTCCCTTCGCTGCTATTCAACCTGCAGCATGTAGAGGAAGCTGAGAGGTGAGAGAGCGTACCTCTGTATGGGATGGGGTGAGAAAAGCTAGCCCCTGGCCCAGCCCCTAGGACCTGGAGCTGCTCTACACCGAGAACCAGGGAACCTGGGCACCTTGGACAGCTCCCAGGATCGAAGTCTGGCTTCTGTTGCCCATTTGGCAATTGGCTCCCTGGGTGACCTTGGTCCTGACCTTCATCATTCCTTTATTACCCTCGGTCACACTATACCTCAATTTCTGCATTTGTAAGAGAAGGACAATAATAGTCTTCAACTCTCTGGAGGCCAGTGGTTGGTATGGACTTTGGACAGATACAAAGGACTCAGAGAGTCAGATTACTTTAGCACAGCAAGCCAGAGACAGTTTTGTTTTGGGAATTTTTTTTTTTCAGTTTTAAAATGCCTTTCCCGGGCTGTGGTTGCTGACTAAGGACTTACCTTCCTTGACCTTCCCTCCTCCCTTCCTGATGCCATTGCAGGTTCCTTAAAAAGGCTCGCTCTTTTGATCCACCTAGCAACAGTGGTAGAGAATTAGAACTGAGAGGTTCCACCTCTGGATTCTGATCCAAGAGCTGCCACTGCCAAAGGCAGTTTAACTATTGCTGCCTTTTGGTATTTTATTCCACTCCAGCTTACCAACTCATCCCCCAAGAACTCTTCTTTGTCTCAAAGAAAAAGTGAAGCAAAACACATTTGGACTGGAGATTTGGGGGAGGAGGTATTCTCTTTTCTCTCTATGTGGCAGTGTTCAAATCTGTAAAATAGGAAAGTTTTTTTTTAATTTAAAATGTAGAAAAAGTGAGGTCACATGTTTTTCCTTCCCAGTCCCCTCTTCCAGGCCTGTGGTTTCATAAACTCTCTCAGCCAGTGCAGGTTGCCAACTGTTCTGCAAATTGTGACTTAGGGAGCTGCCAGGGGACACTGAAAGGTTCACTAATTTGCCAGGGATCACACAGGCTGTATATGTCAGAGCAGGACTTGAACCCAGGGCTTCCAGGCTTCAAGGCCAGTGTTTTGTCTAAATAGTCTCACTTCTTTATCTCACTTGTATATTATAGTGGAGTGACAATGTATAGTGGAGGTAAAGGTGTTAGTTGTTCCCTTCTCTCTGTTAGTTCAGAGCCCAAACTCTGGAAAGCAACAATCGGTAAGGAAACCAAACACCCAGGAATGTTAAGAGACTTGTCCAAGGTACCTAACACAGGCAGTGTCTGAAACAGGATTTGAACCCAAGTCTTTCTGACTCCAAATCCAGCAAGCAATGTGTCCACCGGGTCATGTCCCCTAGTTTGAGCAGAGGCAAGTTCCAAGTCTGGCAGAAGTTTCAGACAAGAAGACTGGAACAATTGATTTCCAAGGGTTGGAGCCAGCAAAATGCCAACAGGGGCTAGGCAGGCTTTGCAGTGAGTGCCCTCTAGTGGTCTATCGTAGAACAGCAGCACACGGGCACACTGCCCCAGAGTCTTCTGTAGGAACCATCCTGTGGTCTGGAGAGCTGCTTTGGAGAACTAGGGGCAGACAGTTATCTACTTTGATCCACAGTCTTGTAGGTAGAATGTTGGAATTGCATTCAGGTTCACATCCTCCTCTGGTATTTACTGACTGTGTGACCATGGGCAAGTCACTTAACCTCTCCAAGATTCAGTTTCTTCATCTGTAAAATGAAAATAATAATGCCTTTAGTATTTATCTCATAGAACTATTGTGAAGCTCAAATATATGAAAAGTGCTTTATAAATTTTAAAGTACTGTCTAAATGTTAGTCATTATTATTGTCCAGAGATAAGAAACAATAGCAACAAAGTAATAACAACTCACATTTATATAGCACTTTAAGGTTTACAAAATGCTTTGCCCAAATCAACCCTTGGGCAAGTCAGATTCCTTGGGTCTCAGCTCCTTCATTCATAAAATAAGAGGATTGAGCTAATGACCTCTGAGCTCCCTTCCAGCTCTGGGTCTATGATTCTATGATCCTGTGAGGGAGGTCGGGCAGATGTTAGTATCTCCATTCTGCAGATGTGGAAAGTGAGGCTCTGAAAGGGTGAGACAGTTGCCCGTGGTTACACAGCTAGTAAGTATTAGAGCCACGAAACAGTTTATACCGGACGATAGGTCTCCTGCCACCAAGTCCAGCTTTCTTTCCATTATATCCGGTCATTTTTGGCTCTGGTACGACTATAGAGTGACACCTGATAATGATTCCACCTCTTTTCTCTCTCTTTCTGTGGTGTAATGGAAGGAGCACTGAACTTGAAGCCATAGGACCTGAGGTAGAGTCCTGGCTCTACTCGTTATTTCCTAGTCCAGTCACAAGGCACAGATAGGCCTTCTCATCTATAAAATAAGAAGTTTAGACTAGGTGACATCTGGGGTCTCTTCCAGTTCTAAATCAATTGGCCTATAATCCATTTTCTAATTCTTTCTCCCTTTCTTTCTTCTCTCTCTCTCTCTTCCCCAAATCCATGTAAAAATAATTTTAACATTCTTTTTTTCATATTTTGAGTTCCAAATTCTCTCCCTCCCCTCATTGAGAAGACAAGCAATTTGATGTAGGTAATACATGTGCAATCATGCAAAACATATTTCCATGTAAGTCTCTCTCTGTCTCTCTGTCTCTGTTTCTCTCTCTCTCTCTCCTGTTTCTTGTCTCCTGTCTCCTCCCTTTGTCTCTCCTTCTCCTCCCTCTCCTCAAAACCCTTTCTTCCTTCTCCCTTACATATGCCTTAGCAACACCTAAGGGCCCTCGTGGACTTAGCTTAGCCCCATTTTTGGCCCTCGGGGCTAAGGAAATTGCCTGCCCTGATAGAAGTCTACCCCAGATCGAGGAATATCTGTCATCTGCTTTCATAGATCTCAAGGAAAGAAACTTTCTTGGCTTCCTTTAGTTGCCTGTCCTTGTGTCTAACAACTTCTCAAGTCTCACCACTTGTGTCAAATGTCCATTTCTTCTCATGTGCTCAGTTGAATGAGAACAACCTTGAAGATGAGAGTAATGAGAAGTTATCATAGGCTATGGAACCACAGGATCTTAGAGATGATCAGGTGCAGTTTCCTCATTTTCCTGTTGAGGAAATTAAAATTGAATAGGAATGAATACAAAGTCTTATACTGTAGTTCCAAAAATTGACTTTAAAAGTACTAGATGAGGGGGATATGGTTAGATAAGAGTTTGAGAAAGATCTGAAGGTTTTAGTAGACTTCAAGCTTTACATGAGTCAATAACATAATGTAGTACCCCTCTCCCCACAAGTAAACCTATTTCTGGGCTGCATTAAGAGAAGCATAGTTTCCAAAAACAAGAAGGCAATAGTCCTGCTTTCTTGGTTAGATAACCTATGTGATAAGTTTAGTTCTGGAAAACCAAATTTTTTATTTAATACTTTATTTTTCCCCAATTACATGTAAAAACAGTTTTAACTTTTTTTCAGATTTTGAGTTCTAAATTCTCTCCCTCCTTCCCCTCATTGAGAAGGCAAGTACTTTGATATAGGTTGTATATGTGTAGTCATGTAAAACATATTTCCACATAAGTCATGCTATGAAAGAAAACAAGAAAAATAAAGACAGTAAAGAAAAAGCATGCTTCAATCTGCAGTCAGACTTCATCAGTTCTTTCTCTGGAGATGGATAGTATTTTTTTGTCATAAGTCCTTCAGCATTGTCTTGGATCATTGTATTGATGAGAATAGCTAAGTTAGTCCCAATTGATCATCATACAGTATTGCTGTTACTATGAGCAATGTTGTCCTGGTTCTGCTCATTTCACTTTGCATCAGTTCATGTAAGTCTTTCCAGGTTTTTCTGAGATCATCCTGCTTGTCATTTCTTATCACGAAAGGGTATGGAAGCCACATTTTAGGAAGACATTGAGAAGCTAGAGAGCACCAAGAGGAGGGCAAGCAGGATGGTGAAAGACCTCAAGCCTGTCCCATATGCGAATTGCTGGAGGGAACTGGGAATATTTAGCCCAGTGAAAAGAAGGCTCAGGGGATCAGGGCTGGGATGGGGGTGGGGTGGTAGAGATTGAAGGGCTATAATGTAGACAAGGGTTGAATTAGACTTGTTCTCTTTGGCTCCAGAGGGCAGAACTTGGAACAGTGCATGGAAATTGCCAAGAGGGAAATTTACTCTTAATATAAAGAGAAACTTCCTAATGGTCAGAACTATCCTAAGGGGGATGGGCTGCCTAGAAGTGGGAGCTGGTTTCCCTTTCACTGAGAAATCAAAGGCTGAATGACCATTTATTGGACATGTTGTAGTAAAATTAATTTTTTTGAGGTTTTGGTTGAATTAAATTGGCTGTAAAGGTCCCTTGAAACTCTGAAATTCGGTGATAATTCCAGCATCTAGCACAGTGCCTGGGACATAGTAGGCCCTTAATGAATACTTGTTGAATGAATGAATAGATGAAAGGATGGATGGATGGATGGATGAATGAATGAGTGAATAAACGAATTCTGTAAGGCCCAGAGATGTACAGTAACTTTTGAAAGTTACAGAGCTTGTTATTGGCAGATCCAGGGCTTACGTGTGCAGGAAAAAGAAGTGAGGGAGGCATCTTTGCATCATCACCTGCTGCATATCTTTTCTAACCACATCTTTTCTCAGGTTTTCAGTTACATCCTGACAACTACTTTGTCTGTGTTTCCACAGCAGGTCTCCCTCACCCTTACAGGCCACAGAGAAAGAAAAGGAGAGCCCGGCAGAACTGGCCGAGAGGTGCCTCCGAGAACTGCTGGGCAGGGCCGCCTATGGCAACATCAAAAATGCCATCAAGCCTGTACTCATGTGAGTTTCTTCCCGAATTCCATAGCTGTAGGGAAAATTGAGATACAGAGAGGTTAAGACACTTAACTTTTTCAGATGCTCGGGCCCCTCAGACTCCCCCTTATCCCTTCCTTCCTATATGAAAGGAAAGAGGAGTTGCAGCTCTGCCCTCTGTGATCAGAAGAGATTAGGGGGTAGTCTAGGCCACCCAGAGGCTACTGGCAGGATAGACTTATGATGCTTCATTCTAACTCGGTCTTGTTGGTACATGTTCCCTTACCCTGTCCCACTTAATTCCCTACTCCAAGGGAGGGAAAAAGCATTGTCTGGGTAGTGGAGCCAGTATCTTGGAAGGCATCCAATTTGGAAGGGTGGTTCTAAAAGTCATAGAAGCTCAGGGTCATCACAGGGCAGGTGGAGGCAGAAAGCCAGCTCCCTTCCTTGAATCCACCACTGTGGTCTGCTGGCCCCAATTCATGACCTCACTCTAGGTTTTAGAGTGCTCCCACTTCCCCCTTGATCTCCTTCTTATACTTCTACCCATAAGCCCTTGCTTGCATATCTACAAAGCTGTATATTGGGTTGGGAATCACTGTATTCTGCTAGGCCTCTTGGGTTAGGGGGAGGGTATTTCTCTGCCCCAAACGAAGCTGATACCACATAGTGCATCACACTCTTGTTTTTCCCATGTTTTTTCCCTCCACAGTCACCTAGATAACCATTCTCTCTGGGAACCCAAGGTGTTTGCCATCCGTTGCTTTAAAATCATCATGTATTCAGTGCAGGTATGGTGGCTCCCTTGGCATAGAGCAAAACTGCATATAGCCAGCAGGAAGTAGGACTGAGTAGAGGTGGTGGGCACGATGCCTCGTGTGGTAGTGCTGGCCCTTAGCTTGGCTTAGAAAACTAAGCTATCTTCCATGGCAAAATGACTTTGGGCTAGGTACTTTAAGATGTAAGATGATGATGAGATATGACATGAAGCTGAGGTATCCAGAAAGAAATAGGGTGGCCACGATAACTTGGCTTTGTCACTGACTTGTTGCACTAACTTGGATGAATGAGAGGCTGGAATTCAAAATGTCTGCACTCTCTGACATTGACTTGCCTTGGGAGCTTGTGTTCCCCCAGTGCCTCAATTTAGCTTATTCAGGGAAGAGTAACCTATCTCAGGAGCAGGGGTTCTCAAAACCCTCCTTGGGGGACCTGTGGATAGATTTCAGGGGGTCTGTGAATTTGGATGGGAAAAAATGACGTCTTTATTTAAACTAACTTCTATCTCAAATAGATCATTTTCTTCAGTTATTTAAAAAATTGTTCTGAGAAGCTGGCCATAGGCATTAACAAGACTGCCAAGAAGGTCAATGACATAGAAAAGGTTAAGAACCCTTGAGTTAGAGGATGAGGACCCCAGGACTTACAGGAATAGCCTAGCCCAGTGAAGGTGGGCAGCAGTTGGGCTCAGAGCTGATGCCATCCCCTCTTATCTTCCTCCCAGCCCCAGCACTCCCACCTCGTGATCCAGCAGCTCCTGAGTCACCTGGATGCCAACAGCCGCAGCGCAGCCACCGTCCGGGCGGGCATTGTGGAGGTCCTGTCTGAAGCAGCTGTCATTGCTGCTACTGGCTCTGTGGGTAAGGGGAGTGCCAAGGGAAAGAGGACAGCTGGGACTTAGAGCCTTTTTTGGGGAGGCATAGAAGAGAACTTCCTTTGGCCAGATACTTTCCTCTAATTCCTGTGGTCAAAAGAGAAGGTTAAAAAGGTCTCCAAGTTGACCCCTCAGTCTCACTCAGCCCCTGACTGCCACATCTTGTCATTTCTATCTCCTTATCAGTTATATCTGTTACTTTCTCTCTATTCACCTGACCAATAGGCACTGATCACTTCTCATCTGAATCATTTCAATAGCCTCTTAATTCATCTCCTTTAAAATCTCTCCCCACTCTGATCCATCCTCCCCACATCCATCAAAGTGATAATCCTAAAGTATGAATCTGACCGTGTCACTCCCCTACTCAATAAACCCCAATGGCTCCCTGTTACCCCTAAGATCATATATAACTCCTCTGTTGGGCCTTTAAAGTTCTTCAGACCCTGGCCCCATCCTATCTTTCTAGTTTTAGTACATACCACTACCTTACATGCATCTAACAAGCCAGTTAAATTGACCTCCTTGCTCTTCCTCACACTATACTCCATATCTCTCCCTGGGACTCAGTTTCCTAATTTGTAAAAAGAGAACGTTAGATGGTCTTTGAGCTAGTTCTCTTCTAGCTCTTAAGCCTGTGACCCTCTGCTCCTAAGGATGCTTGGAAGAACATTCATTTACTAGTGACCTATAACTGGGTTGCATTATGGATAGTGGATAGAGTACTGGTCCTGGAATCAGGAAGATCTGAGTTCGAATCTAGCCCAGACACTAGTTGTGGGCAAGTCATACCCTTCACTGGGCAAGTCACTTAACCCCATTTGCCTCAGTTTCTTTATCTGTAAAATGAACTGGAAAAGAAAATGGCAAGCCACTCTACTATTCCTGCCAAGAAAACCCCAAATGGAGTCATGAAGAGTCAGACACAACTGAAAAATGACTGAACAAGAAATGGCTGGGATGTATTATGGGCAAGTGAAGGTAGAGAAGAATGCCAGGCCTTAATTACTCTTTTCTTCTTTCACTGCTTTCTTCAGGTCCCACAGTCCTAGAGATGTTCAATACTTTGCTAAGACAGCTACGGCTCAGCATCGACTATGCCCTGACTGGCAGCTATGATGGAGCCATCAGCGTTGGCCCCAAGATCATCAAGGAGCATGAGGAGAGAATGTTTCAGGAGGCTGTTATCAAGACCACTGGTGTGGGACTGATGGCCGGCCCCTGGGGGTGGGGAAGGGAGCCCCTGGGGCAGGGATCCATGTCTTCCTGAAGGATGAGACTTCCAAGAGGGAATCTTCACCTCCTTCCTAATTCTTCCTAAACTTTGTGTTGGGGGACGAGGGGCAGGCCCTTACCTTCCACAGCTTGTTTAATGAATCTAGCTTTTTTGTTGTTGTTCTGGAGTAATGATGATAAACACCTGGAAAGTTTTCTATAGACACAGAGAGAGAGACAGACAGACAGAGAGAGAGAGAGAGACAGTGAGAGAGACAGAGAGAGAGAGAGAGAGAGACAGACTATCTTAGCATAGATCTTAAACAGGACTTGAAGTAAGAAAACAAAAAGTCACCCTCCCCATACCTGATTTTAATACAACAAGAATTTATTAAGAACCTGCCATATTCTAGACACTGGGAGAATGCATAGACCAAACTGGAACAGTCTCTGCCCTGAAGTAGCTTATGTTCTATTTGGAAACAACACATACCCCCCGCCCCTGCCCCGTGTACATCCTTGGACAATCAACAAGCAATTACTTAGTGCCTTCCAGGTTCTAGGCAAAAATGAAACAATCCCTGCTTACCAGGGGAGACAGCATGCATATCTACTAAGTACATGCAGCATAAATACAAAATGAATGTGAGGTATTTTAGGGAGGTCGTGCCTCTCTGCACCCCAATTTCTTTATCTGTAAAATGAGGGGAGTTGGACTGAGTGATGTCTGAGGTCCTTCTAGCTCCAAGTCTGGGATCCTATGAACAAGTAAACAGATATGCAAAGTTATACAAATTAATTTCAAGGGAGAGGGAGAGAGAACACTGACAGTGACTTCCAGCTTCAGTAGGAGGGAGAGGTGAGAAGGGAGAAAGAAAGGGGGGAGGGAGGAAGGGAAAGGAAGAAAAGAGAGGGTGACATTAGCACTTGAACACTGAGTTTCCAGCCAGTCAGACACGTGGGAGTGAAATTAAAGCAGAACATTGCTCCCCAGACCTTTAGCCCTGATATTAAACACAATTACAGTGGTTATAACTTGAGAATCTCGAGTTGGAAAAAGCTCTTCAGAGTCATCTAGTACATTCCTTCCTCCCTCAAGGGAGTAAGGTTTCTAACCCCTTCCAAAGAATTGTTTTTCTTGCTTGTTCTTCAAAGTTTCACAACATTGCTGAGCAATATTCTGTGTTGAAGAGCCTCGCCATGTGAGGCCTCCACCATCCTTATAGCCCAACTAGGGTTCACCCTCTCTGCCCTCCATCCCCATCTAGGATCCTTTGCCAGCACATTGCCTACTTATCAACGCTCTGAAGTAATGCTTTTCATCATGAGCAAGGTCCCATTGCCCTCTCTCCATCACCCCATGGAGACTGGAAAGACTGGGTGAGTTCATCAAAACCTCTTCCCTTCATCCCTCAAGTGTATACCCCTCCTCAGTTTCTAATTCTCTTGACTAGATTCTCCTCTCCTGATCACTCTTCTGACCTGTCCTTTAGCTACTGTTTGTTATCTTTCTCTTCCTTCCTCCTTCCCTTTTTCTCTCCCTCCCTCCTCCCTCTTTCCTCCTTTTTTCCTCCCTCCCTTCCTTCCTTACTTGCTTCCTTGCTTCTTTCTTTCCTTCTTCCTTCTTCCCTTCCTCCTTTCCTTCTATCCTTCTGTCCTTCCTTCCTTCTGTCCTTCCCCTCTCTCTTTTCTTTCTTTTCCTCTGCTTCTCTCTTCTTGCTTTTGGAATCACTCAGCTATTTTGGGCCTCCCATGGTTGTCATGGCTTCATTCAACACAGCTGCCACTTTGCTCTCCGCCCTACCCCACTCCTTTCACCTTTTGCTAAGAGGTATCAAAGGAAGTTTCTTCAGGTCTGGGAAGATCATGGCTACCTCTTGATTTGGGCATCGCTGCTGTAACTCTGCTGGATGACCTTTGTTGAGAACTAAGCTCTAGGGGGTGGGAGTAGGGCTGGCAGAAAAGATTGCTGCCAAATTCAGTGACTACTCTTAAGTCAGTGTTCTGGTGTTTGTGTCTCTGGTTCTTAGGGAGAACAGGAACCGCCTGACCCAGATCATGCTGCTGAAATCCCTTCTTCAGGTAAGTCTGTCCTGTCCCCACCCAGGTCTCTCTCCTAATATTGTAAGAAAGATCTTTCTTCCAAGAGCTCAAAAATAATATTTGCCTTTCCTTTATGCCTTTTGATTTTCCCCGAAACCCCTGCCCTCCTTGCCCCTGCTTCTCTCTCCCTGTCACATCTGTCTCTTTCCTTTGGCCTGTCTCCTACTCAGCTTCCCAACCCCTATCTTTATTTCTTAAATACACCCCTTCCTTTCTGTTGCTAAAGCTGTCACCTCACAAATGAATTACTAGAACACTTGCTCTTATTATCTTGACCCATTCCAATTCATTCTACACACAAACCACCAAGATAGCTTTTTGGTAAGCACGATTTACATAACATCACTGCCCTGCCTTAGAACTTCCCTGTTAAACCTATTGTTTCAGAAACAAGCTCTTTGGGACTTTGAAGGCCTCTACTGACTGCTTTCTGATAGAACGTAAGCAGCTTGAGGACAGGAACAATTGTATTTTTATGTCCACTGTCCAGCCGCATTGTTATTGTTCAGTTGTGTCCAACTCTTCATGATCCAGTTTTCTTGGCAAAGATACTATAGTGGTTCGCCGTTTCCTTCTCCAGCTTATTTTACAGATGAGGAACTGAAACAAACAGGGTTAAGTGACTTGCCCAGAGTCACACAGCTAGCAAGTGTCTGAGGTCAGATTCTAACTCAGGTCCTCCTAACTCCAGGCTTGGCACTCTATCCACTGTGCCACCCAACTGCCAAAAATGTTGAGGACCATAGCACTGCATGGGAGGAGACACACTTCTGCTCCCATCCCAAGCTCAGGGAGTAGGTGGAAACTTGGAAAAGAGTTTTTAGATTTAATCCCCATTGCTTATTCTACTCCATTGGTTAGAGTGCTGGGCCTGGAGTCGGGATGACCTGAGTTCAGATCCCTCCTCAGACTAGCTATGTGATGCTGGGCAAGTTCATAAATCTCTGTCTGCCTCAGTTTCCTCAACTATAAAATGGGGGTAATAATAACACCTACTTCCCAGGATTATTATGAAGGTCAAATGAGATATTTGTAAAAAGTGCTTAGCACAGTGTCTGGTACCTAGTAGGTACTATATACATGTTTATTCCCTTCTCTTCCCTTCCCCTCTTCCAAAAAAGAAAGTTTCCCTAACCTTTACCATCCTTGCCCTCCTGGCAGGTATCCATCGGCTTCCAGTGCAGCAACATGCTGACTGCCCTGCCTAGCTCCTTCCTGGACCGGCTTCTTTCTGCTGCTCTCATGGAGGATGCTGAGATCCGCCTCTTTGTCCTGGAGATCCTCATCAGCTTCATTGATCGTCATGGCAACCGCCACAAATTCTCCACCATCAGGTTAATTGGATGTCCTTTGGGAATGAAAGGTTAAGGAGTCTTTAAGGAGGGTACCTAGCCACCTGATCCTATGGGTTTCACACTGTGGTAGAACACAACTATGAAATCTGAAGAGGCTTGCTCACTGAGGAAGCCTGGACACACCTCTGTAAAGGCAATAGAATGTCATAGCAGAAAGGTGGTGCAGTGAATAGAGTGGTGGGCCTGGAGTCAAGACAGCCCTGAATTCAAATCCACCCTCTTATACTTACTTAGCTGTATGACCTGGGACAAGTCACTTAGACTCTGTTTACCTCAATTTCCTCAACTGTAAAATGGTTATAATAATAGCACTTACTTCCCAGGGTGTTTGTAAAGATCAAATGAACTATTTGTAAAGCATTTAGACAATGCCTGACACACATAGTAGGTGCTATGTAAATTCTGGCTATTATTATTATTACTGTCATCATCATCATCATGATCATTTTTCATGGGCATAGTCTAAATTAGGGATAAGAATAGTCAGTGACCCTGGGATTGGGCCACCTGGGTGGATAAAAAGGGAAAACAAGAGAGATTGCCATGATGATGGGGGGTTGGGGTATTGAAGGAAAGGGGCAAAGACTAAAATATTGGAGACCTGGGAGGAAAGAGCAAAATCAAGGTTGGAGAGCTTCCCTTGTCTAAGGGAGTCAGAAGGGACAAAGAGCAGGTGGCGAGTGTGGAAAAGCATTGGGATGCAATAAACAAAGAGAATGGAAGATAAATCTGGGAGAAAAGAGATGGAGACTGGGGAGTAAAGTGCCAAAGAAAATAGAGACAGCTAGAAGTACTGGGTTTGGAGTCCGAGGACCTTGGTTCAAATCCTGGTTTTGCTTCTTACTGCCAACGTGACTTTGAACAGGTCACTGGACCTCCCTGGCCTTGGTTTTCTTGTCTGGACAATGAACGGGATGGACTAGAATCAGGGGTGGGGAACCTGGGGCCTCAAGGCCACATGTGGACCTGTAGGTCCTCAAGTGAGGCCCTTTGGCTGAATCCAGACTTCCCAGAACAAATCCATGTGGCCGCAAGGCTGCAGGTTCCCCACCCCTGGACTAGATGTCCTCTAAGTTCCCTCTAAATGTCCTCTGAACCTAAGAACCAGGATCATTAAATCATATCATCATATTGTTGTTCGACCTTCATTCTCGAAGCGGACCAACAGCACCATGAGAGTAATATCTTGACTTGTGTGAACTGGATATAAGGGAGGCAGAGCTGCACAAAGTCCTCAGCCTCATTCCTTTCTTCAGTCAACAAAGTCCAGTGGCAAGACAAAGGTCGAGATGACTGTCGATGGCACAGGATGCAGTGGATAACCTTGGCCTTTAAATTTAGAGTTTCAAGGGACCTTAGAGGCCACCAAGTCTAACCCTCTCATTTTACAGGCAAAGAAACTGAGGCACAGAGAAATTAGGTGAGTTGCCCAGGGTCACAAAGAAAGTGTCTGAGGGCTTGAGCCCAGGTCTTCCCGACTCCCAGTCCAGTGCCCTATCCATTTTACCATGCTGAGTCCTCCCAGGGACTAAGGATGATTATTTAAAAAAAAAAAAAAGAGCCACCGCAAATGAAGATGATATCTGGAGTTAAGGTAGAAATCTCTAGGGTTTTAGAACTCAGAAAATGGAGATGGGAAGACAGTTACTTATGAGCTAGCTAGCATCCAAGTAGTACTCTACCTCTGACTTCCTGTCTTCACAGCACCCTCAGTGACATCTCTGTCCTAAAACTGAAGGTGGACAAGTGCTCACGGCAAGACACCGTGTTCATGAAGAAGGTATGCAAATCGGTACCCCCCTCAGTCTGTTGTACCCCCCTCCCCATCCCCACCTCCACATCTGTCTTCCTAATCTAGGTGAGGTCTTAGGGCAGTATCTATAAATGACCCCTCTCCCTCCCCAACCTTCCAGATCCCTAAGTTCATCTGTAGACTTTTCTCCTTACTCAAGAATCCTGTCTTCCTCCCTCTCCATCACCCCTTGTGGTTTCTCCTCACTTTTGTCACCTTCTTAAAGGTGCCTAACTCACATGGCCAGCTTTTCCTTCTTATGTGACTTTCAAGAGAAACCTAGCAGGAGGTTAGCCTTTAGCACTGAGCTTCAGACTGAAGGACACTTGTGGTGGACCCCCCTCTGAGCCAGCCCTCTGGTCCTTCCCTAGAATTCATCTCAGGGGTAAAGGAGGGAATAACCCACCTCATGTCTGCTTTGTTGTGGAGCCTGCCCCAAGCTCTTCTCTTGGGGGCACTGACTCCCTTGAACGTGTTCTTGCTGCCTTCCCCTGGAAGCACTGACTACCTTGAAAGATCACATTAGGGCACCCTTCAGGCTGAGGGCAAAAGTCTCCCATCCTGCTCTTTGTGCCTCATTGCCCTGCCCACAGCACTCTCAGCAGCTCTACAGACACATCTACATGAGCTGCAAGGAGGAGACTAATGTTCAGAAACACTACGAAGCTCTCTATAGCATGCTGGCGCTCATCAGCATCGAGCTGGCCAACGAGGAAGTGGTGGTGGACCTCATTCGCCTCGTGCTGGCTGTCCAGGTGAGGCCATATTGGTAAGGAGCCTCAGGGAGGGAAAGGGCCCTGCAAAGTCTGGAATTGGGATGACAGGGAGGGCACCTCTTTGGGCAAAGCACCAGTGAGTTTCCATGACAAAAAGAGCATTCAGTTCATTTAAACAAGCACTCATTAAGTGCCTAATATGTGCTTGGCACTGGGAATACGAAGATAAAAATGAGAAGTATCCCTGCCCTCAAGGAGCTTGCATTCCCTTGGGAGGAAACATTTACATAGATAAGTAAATGTAAAATATAAAGTATATATGAAAGGATTAATTTCAATGACTGAGGGGTCACTAAGGGGCTGGATTAACAACTGGGAAAATCAGGAAAGGCCTCTTGGAGGGCATACTTGAACTCAATCTTGAAGAGATTCTTGAAGGTGGTGGTGAGGAGAGAGAGAGCACATTCCAGGCTATACAAAGGCATGGTAATGGGAGATTGCAAGTCCTGTCCTGGAGATAGGAGGTAGGCCAGTTTGGCTAGAGCATAAAAAGTCTGAGATGATGTTTCTCATCACAGGGAGAGTGATGTGAAATGAGCCAGTTTGTATAGGACTTCAGATGACAAACAGGAGTTTGTATTTGATCCTAGAGGGAGCCACTGAGCTTCTTTAGCAGGAAAATGGCATAGACCTGTGCTTTAGGAATACTACTCTGGCAGCTGTGGTTAGAGAAGGAAGAGACTGGATACGGGGAAGCAATGAAGAGGCTGTGGCAGTAGTCCAAGTGAGAAATGAGGATGCCCTGGAGTAGAATGGTAGCTGTGAGAGTGGGGAAGACAGAATGGATTCAAGAGATGTTATGGAGGTTGAGTCTCCACTTCCTGTCCCCCCCACCAGCCTATGGTTTTAACATTCACCTTTGTTTTGCCACCCCACAGAGGCTGCCAGTGGGTTACCTCCTTAACTGTGGAACAATTGTAGGCATTCCAAGGTCCATTAGTCTCTTCTAGAGGTGTGAGTTGAGAAAAATACATGGATTTTCCTTTTCAAGACCTGGGCAAGTTTCTTTAGTGAAGGGCTATCAAGAGACCCTTATCCATCAACACATACACATGTCCATCTGCCCTTGTCCCAAGCCCCCCTCCAGGGGGATGAATCTGGGCCTCCTAGAACTCTTCAGAGTTATTTATGAATCCTAGGGGACCCTAAAACCAATTTACTCCCTTGAGAGGATGACTTACACTGCCTGAACCAGCCTGGACCTGGAGTATAACCCTCAAGACAACTATAGGATGGGAAGAGTCCCTTAAGCCCACTTAACGCATAGACGCAAAGATCTAGGATCTACTCTTGCACTTAATAGCATCCCCCAAACAACCACTTCTCCATCATCCACCCATGCTAGCCTGGCTTATCACTCACTATGAGATAAAAATCAGATCTCTGTGGCATTTTGTGTTCCATGATAACCTTCCATGATGCTCTCTTTTCTGCAAGCGAGTGTGGCTGAACCTTAGTAATTCAGATGTGAACAAGAGACTACCTAGCTTATCATTGCTGATAAGCTCCTATTTCAGACAAGAAAAAAGTCTAGTGGTGTTAGCTTCCAATTTTCTAAATCTATGCACCTTTCAAAGCCAGAATTGGCAGTGAGGGGTGGAGGTGGGGTGTCTTTCCCCACCTCAGTTAGTTGTTCTTATTCTGATAAGTGGCTCACTAACTTAGTTTAAAGAGGGAGTCTTAGCCCCACAAGAGGATAGTCCCTACAAAGGGACTGATGGCCTTTTAAATAAATTGGACAGCGTCCAATCTAATAGAATAAATGTTGTCCATGTAGCATAAAGAATAGCAAGAAAGATGATGATGAAGAGGGCTGTCAAGGACAAAGAAGAGTAGGAAGGAGCTCACAGGCAACACTGAAAAGTAGGGAAGTTACTGACCTGAAGATGCTCTAGTCAAACGAGGTTGCTCCTGTTGCCAAAAATTGATGAAATCTTCATGCACCTGCCTTGTTTTGGATACTCTACAGCATAACTTCCCATCCTCTTACAAGTTATAGTCTGTAAAGTGGGAAGGACTTAATCAGAGCTAAAACTAGGATGGGGTGGCTGTGGCTTTGCCACAGGGTAACAAATAGAGGGTGCTGAAGACACTTGCAATCTTTCAGTAAAATAGTAAAAAATAGAAACAATAGAGTTTAACAGATAGTTTGCCAACTTCATAATATCCTAGAGTCTCTGGCTTACCACAGCGGTGCAATATCCCAAGATCTTCCCTTCCCGTTTACTAGTCAATCAAGATTTTATTTTGTGCTGCTTGTCCCCGGCATAAAAAATTGCTAGTTAGGATTCACGGGAGAATCCTGGGAAAAGTAAACTTTCCAGAAAAGGGTAAGTTAAAATGGATAGTGGGTTGGAGGATTTGGTAGAAGATGTGGATTAAATACCCTTGTGGATTTTTCTTTGTTTTGACATAGGAAATAGCCCATATCAATGAAGAAAATCTGCCTGCATACAACCGCTGTGCCCTCTATGCTCTGGGAGCTGCCTACTTGAACCTCATCAGTCAGCTTACTGCTGTGCCTGCTTTCTGCCAGCACATCCATGAGGTTGGTAGCCTTGTCTAAGGATTTGCTAAGCTTTTTTCCTTTTCCCTCATGCTTTTTTTCTTTTCCCTCATGCTTTTTTTTTTTGAGGCAATGAGGTTAAGTGACTTGCCCAGGGTCACACAGCTAGGAAGTGTCTGAGGCTGAATTTGAACTCAGGTCCTCCTGATTCCAGGGCCAGTAACTGACCCACTGACCCACCTAGCTGCCCCTTTCCTTATGCTTCTGAGAGCTCAGGAGACCGTTGGCATTGTGAGTCTCCCAGGATCACACACAATTTTACAAGCATTTATTAAGCACCTACTATGTATCAGAAGCCAAGAAATAGAAAGGCAACACAGAAGTAGTTCTGGCTGTCATGAAGCTGATGTTCTTTGGCAGGGAAAGAACATGTACAGACCTAAATTATGTACAAAAGCAGACAAAATAATTTATAAGAGGGAGAGAGCTTTAATAACTGGGGAATCAGGTAAGGCCTTGTGTTAAGCGGTGGCACCTGAGTGGTGTCTAGAAGGGGGAAGAGATAATATGCACTTATAACAGCACCTACTATGTGCCAGGCATCGTGCTAAGCACTTTACAAATATTATCTTATTTGATCCTGACAACAACCCTGGTGATGTTATTATCCCCATTTTACAGTTGAGGAAACTGAGACAGACAGAGAAGTTTAGTGACTTGCTCATGTCACCTAGCCAGTAAGTGTCTGAGACCATATCTGAACTCGGGTTTTCTGACTCCAAACCCAGCACTATACCAACCGTGCTAGCAGAAGGAAATTTATGGAGCCAAGGGGTGGATATGAAGAAAGAGATTATTCCAAATGAGGGGCACCATGTTAGCAAAGGTACAGAGGTGAGAGATGAAATGTCATGTGAGGGAAGCGTTAGTAAGTGAGTTTGATTGGAACAGAGAGGCCAGGAAGTGGAGGTAACATGAAATAACTGGAAAGGCTGATGGAGAGCCAGATCATGAAAGATCTTCTGTGATATTAGACTAAAGATTTTGTACTTTTCCCTGCCTAGATTGAGAGAGGTGGGAAAGATTTACCTGGGGAAAGCACAATTGTTAAGGAATCACTATGCTGGAACTTGGCCTCTTCTATTATTTCTGCCAGGAATAAATCTAGTTCCTAATAATAAAAGAGAGGAACAGCTTAGTGAAGTAAAAAGAGCCCTAGATTTTGAGTCAAAGGACTTGAGTTCCAATCCTATTTCTCCTTACTATACTGTATGACCTTGGGCATGTCATTTCAGCTAAAATCTGGGTTTTCACATCAATAAAATGAATAGGTGAATTAGATACTCTCTAAGCTCAATATCCGTGGTCGTATAAATAGATCATTGTAGTGTATTCCCCTTGCTAATTACGAATAGTCTAGTAAAGCATCCATACACACTCATACCTACCATGCTCCATCCTCTGTAACCTAACCACCTTTCAGTTCCATGGTAAAAAACTGGCAGAGAGGAATTAGCAAACACAGGATCATATGTCACTGCCTAGTGATACCAGAGGTGTCTTAACAGTTCACTGTGTCATAATACAACTGGTTGCTAAATGACCATTATAATTTTTTTTTCATAGTTGAAGGGGATAGGGCTAAGAAGAAAGTGTAGCCCTCTAGGATTTAAGCACTGAATTACATATTGCAGCAACTGAAATGCCATTGATGATGCTAGAGCTCACTTAATATTTCTTAGGCTGCTTGGAACATCATCATTTCTCTGAATTTCACACTGATGCTTTAGAGTCTACTCTTTTGAGGATAGGAAATGGCAAAACGGAAACAAGAGCCCCTGATCTCACCTGTCTCTTCTGAGCTCATTCTCTTTCCTAGGCCCAGCTCTGTTCATTGGTTCCTTCTCACATTCCAGGTAATAGAGACGAGGCAAAAGGAAGCACCATACTTGCTCCCAGAAGACATCTTTGTGGAGAGACCCAGGTGAGAAGGTGACCTCTGTTGGATTCAGGGATGATAGAGGCACTTACTAAGATGGGAGAAGGTGTCCTGAGTACAAGAGAGAACAGTCAGCTTTCCAGATACCCAGGTAACTGACAGAAAGGAGAATATAGTAGGATAACTCCATCCTCCTCCTCCTCCTCCACACACACATACACACACACACACACACACACACACACACACACACACACACACACTTCAGTGTAGGGGTCCCAGGCTGAGTTTCTTGGACTCCTATTCTTACACAAGCCTTGAATACCAGGTGGCTAACCATCCTTTTACATACCAGAGTGCGCAAGATGGTCTTAGGCACATTGACCATTCTCGTAAGGGAGTGAACTCTGGAAAGATCACTCTTGGCAAGACACTATCCATATACCATATCGACATTACACAGTGGACCCTTTGCCCACAGGATGATGTTATTGCCTAAAGGGTGCCACAGGGTAATATTACTTTCATCTCTTAGAGATGCTTAAGGGAAGCATCTTAGTTTTTTATGCCTTATTGATCATCAGGGGGCTACTCATCTGCTCATGGAATCCTAGACAGGTAGCCTAAAGCACAAAAGTTCAGAAGAACTGACTTCCTTCTTTGGATAGAGAGGACCAGAAGGACACAGTGGGAGTGTACAGCCATTCCCATTTATTCATGATTCTGCCTTCTTCCTTCTTTTGTTCTTTCCCATTTGTTTCTTTCAGGTTGTCCCAGAGCCTAGACCAAGTGGTGATTGAGCTCCTCTTCCGTCAGAGTAAGATCAGTGAAGTCCTAGGGGGCAGTGGCTACAATTCTGATAGGCTCTGCACACCTTACATCCCTCAACTGACAGGTAGGAATTGGAGTACAAGGACTTCCATCCTTATCTCCCTCACTTTTCCTAGCTAGGGCTTGGGTCTACAGATCGTTCTCCTTGGCAGCCCATCGTGACAGCTAGAGCTGGTAAAGACCTGAGGAAATCCATAGTGAGACAACTGCTGACTATGTTGGGCATTTACCCCTCAGTCTAGCATCTTTAGGGGTAATGTGTTCAAGGAATAACCTGGCCTATGGCTAACAAATCTCACGCCAACTGAGATTTGCTAACCCCTCCCCAGTCAGAGGATGAGATTTCCTATAGATCTCTAATGACTTCAAAGTCTTAACCAGATCTCCTGGGCTTCCTTTCTCCATTAAACAGAAGGGAAATCTGAGCCCTGGAAAGTTAAGTACCCATCCCAGATGGGCTCAGCAGATCTGGAGCAGAGCCCAAGTTCCGACAAACTCCCATTACACTTTGAAATCTGTGCGTCACTCTGGAGAGCTCCCTGGCTGGGCTATTTTCTCTATTAGCTTTTTTTTTTTTTTTTTTTTGGTAAATCAGTGAAGGTTTAAGGGGACAGAAAGAATAGGTCCTGGGAATCTCAGTGCTTAGTTTTCATGGCTTCCTCTAGATGTTCTGAGTTTCTGGGAATCCTTCCTTTCCAGATGAAGATCGCTTGTCCAAGAGGAAGAGCATTGGTGAAACCATTTCCCTTCAGGTGGAGGTAGAGTCAAGGAACAGCCCAGAGAAGGAAGAGGTAAACTCCTTTCTTTTCTCATACACCATCCTGACCAGGAGAAGGAGCTAGTTTCCCTTTTCTCTTCACATTCAACATTGCTCTCAGACTTCATTTCTGTGTCCTCTTAAATCCATATTACTTAGTAGCACAGTGCTTGCTTAGTAAATCTTTTTTTATTCATTCATTCATGTATGGAAAACAACTTTCTGTTAAGTGGGCACTGTTTTCCTATTGACCCCTATTATCAAATCAGTAATGTATGCTACTAATTGGATTCAGGTCAGTGAATGTTTATTCAGGACCCTCCGTGTGCCACGCAATGTGCTAGATGCTAGGTATGCAACCATAAAAGTGTAATAGTACCTGCCTACAATCTAGCAGTCTATTTGAAAGATCATTTGTTCTAGGATTTCATTTTTTAAAAAATCACACTTTAGGATTATAGGTTTAGAGCTATAAGGGACCTCAGAGGTCATTTTGTCCAAGTCCCCATTTGTACAGATGAGGACCTGGAGCTATTATCTATTCAACTCCTTTTGCCCTGTGTCAGATTCTGCAAAGAACCAAGGCACCATGACACAATAACAATAACAACAACAATAACAAATGCTTATTAATTAATTGAGTGTTTAAGGGTCTTAGGCCAACCTAGGCAACCCTTTGGTCTCCTCAATTTTAGGCCATGTAGTCTGATCTTTTTGAACTTCTCAGACCAGTTCTGCACATAATTTAAGACCATAGTCTATAGGGATTCTGATCAGTTTGCAGAATTTACCTCAGGTCCTCCCCTACTTGCTTGGCCCAACTCCTCTTCCTCTCTTTTTCTTTTTTTTTCCCTGTCAAGGAGGGTAATAGAACATCAGTATCTTGCACAGTGATAAGTACCTTCCATAAACAGATATCCATGAAAAGTCAACTTAAAAGGAAAACCAAAGAGAAGTGAAAGATTCATAAATTTGTATTAGACTCCTACCTTCATTTGCTTTAAGCCAATCCTGAAGTGTGGCATGTGGGCCATTATTGCTACTGTCAGTCTCAAAGTAAATATGTATGATAAATTTACCACTAATTCCAAAACTAACAATCTTTTGACTGAAGGGCATCTGGGTCTCAATTCCCTTGTTTCCCATTCCCTGATCTTTCCTTTTCTAGGTCAGAAACAGAAGATGAAGAAAATGTCACACACTTTTCTCTGTCCGAATATATCCTACATCAAAGCCCATAGTGATTTCCTTTCAATCAGAAAAGGTTACCTTAGCAACCAAGTTACTAAGGGCTGAAAGAGCTATTACATTTTAATGGGGAGAGACCACCCACATGGGGGAATAGTCGATAGGGAAGGTCTCTTATCCTTTATCTCTTATCCTTCCTTCCTTTCTACATTCTTTATAAATGTTCAATTAGACTTGGATCACTTCTTAAGCCTATAATTTTCAGAATGATAGTCATGCCAATATGTCTCTTCAAGGCACCCAATCCTTTTTTTTTTCATTCTAACTATCTTAAACTCATTCAAACAGAATAATATTTTTAAAACTGATTATATAGTGGTCTCCTCACATAAGGTTTGATAAAACTGGGTTGCTAATGAGTATAAAAGACAGATTTTTTGTTGGCAGGAAGGATTCTGGGGGTCTTTCTGAAATGGAATTTCTGATCTAAGTTCAAAGTCTAACCAAACTTCCCCCCCAGCCAACCTCTGAATTTTTTTTCCCTGAGGGCTGATATTTTTATTAATTAATTTATTTTTAGTTTTCAGCATTCACTTCCATAAAATTCTGAATTCTAAATTTTCTCCTCCTCCTGCCCCTCCACCCTCTGCAAGATGGTGTGCAAGCTGATATAAGCTGTACATATGCATTGCTATTAAACATATTTTCACATTAGTCATTTTTTTTTAAGGCACTTGGGGTTAAGTGACTTGCCCAGAGTCACACAGCTAGTAAGTGTCAAGTGTTTGGTCTGAGGCTGGATTTGAACTCAGGTCCTCCTGACTTCAGGGCCGGTGCTCTATCCACTGAGCCACCTAGCTGCCCCACACATTAGTCATGTTGTAAACAAGAATTAGAACTAATGGGAGAAACCATGAGAAAGAAGAAACAAACAAAGGAAAAAGAGCAAATAGCATACTTTGATCTGTATTCAGACTCCATAGTTCTTTTCTGGATATGGATAGCATTTTCCATCATGAGTCTTTTGGAGTTGTCTTAGATACTTGCATTTCTAAGAAGAGATGAGTCTGTCATAGTTGGTCATACATTGTGGCTGTTACTGTGTTCTGTGTTCTCCTGGTTCTACTCACTTCACTCAGCATCAGTTCATATGAGTCTTTCCAGGTTTTTCTGAGATCTGCCTGCCCATCATTTCTCATAACACAATAGTATTCCATTACATTTATATACCACAACTTGTTCAGCCACTCCCCAATTGATGGGCATCCTCTCAATTTCTAATTCTTTGCTACCACAAAAAGAGCTGCTATAAATATTTTTGAACATGTGAGTCCTTTTCCCATTTTTATGATCTCTTTGTGATACAGACCTAGAATTGGTATTACTGAGTCAAAGGATAATTTCTTTTTTGTGTGTAAACAGCTGGCTAACTCTGTATACAATGTGGCTACCTGATCCCTGGTAGGTGTCTCACCAGTCTAAAACAGTTTCTGATAATAGGGACCCCCTCCTGGCAAATTAAGTGACTTTTAATTTTCTAGCCTGGGACTTAGGTAGATGAGGATATTAGGGAATTTCAAAGCCAGGAAGACCTCTGTGTCCTTTGACATCTCCTTCCTCCTTTCACCTTTCCTAAGAAAGTTAAGGTTCAAAAACGTCTTCTCTTTTCTCTACAGAGAGTGCCCGCTGAGGAGATTACCTATGAGACCCTAAAGAAGGCCATTGGTAAGTTAGGACAACTGAAGCTAATGGGAGATGTGTATATGGTGATCAAATGTCTTAGATTTTTCCAATATAGTTCCAATTTCAAGAATACAAAAGTGTTTTTTTTCTTTTCTTCTTTCTTTCTATCACCTTCATTGCCAAATACATTCCTTTCCCTTCTCCTACTCATAGAGTCATACCTTGTTACAAAGAATTTTTTAAAAGTGTGTTTATGGGGAAATAATTAAACAAAACTAACAAATATACCAACTGATTCCAATAACATATGTAATGTTCCACACCCATAGTCCCCAACTTGTGCAAAGAAGGGAGGCAAGTGTGTTTTTTCCTCTCTTCACTGAGGGTTAGTTTGGTCTTTATAATTAATAATATGGTGTTTAAAAGTGCTGTTTCATCAAGGCTTCCTAATGAATGTCCTTTGTCAGATTTTTGATTCAGAAAATATAGTCGCTGTAGGAATAAATGAGTTATACTGTTCACCTTGAGTCATGTAGGAGAGTTTGCCTGGCCAGCCCTTAATCCTGTCATCAGGGTTTCTGCTATATGGTGGCAAAGAGGATAGGTCAAGAGAATTGATGGCAAATCCTTTACCACCGATGTATCCTTTTAATGGGGAGCCAAATGCCATTATCATAGATCAAGAGGAGGGCACTTCTTTTTTTTTGAGGGTCAGTGACTCACAGGAAATAACAAAACAGTGGGGACTGCATATCCAGAAAAGACAATTTAAATTTACATTTGGCTCTCAGAAAAAAAAATAAAAATAACTATAGGATTAACTTCCCTATTTAAAAAAAATTAAGAGCAAGGAATATAAATACAGACATGGAAAACTACTTCCTTGACTGATGGCCAACTAGTCAGGATGGAAGGAGGATTAAAGCTGCCCGCCCATTATCATCATCAGATGTAGACAGAGTTGATCCTGTATCCATATATCTATCACAAAGCAGGAAGTCATCTTGTAAAAGAAAAAAAAACAGGAGGAAGGAAGTAGGAGGAATATAAAAAAAGAAAGAAAGAAAGAAAGGAGATTGAGAAATCAGAATGAATCAAAAAAGACAACAGGAAAGAACTGTTATAAGAAACAATTTCTTTACGCTAATCCTGGATTTAGACTTTAACCTCATATAGGTCATGGCTAATCCTCAGTTTGTCTTGAGTTGACTCCAGCCTGGATCTTAATACATTGTTCCTCAGATTCTGGGTCCACAGATTACCTAAGTCCCATGAGACCCATTGCCTTGCTGTCATATTAGAAGGCTTGAGTATTTTTACATATTACAGAAAAGCATAGATAAGATTGTGAATATCTTCAGACCATATATCTTCAGACCATTGAAATGAAATGGTAGTAGAATAATGTTCATCTTGATTTCAACATAGCCTTCTGGACCTAGTAATCTCTAGCCTTATGGGCAAAAGCCTTCTTTTAAAAGATAGCAAGGTGAAGCTTAGGGCACATATCTTCACTCTTGAGAGTGAAATGACCATCTGAGTGGTGCACAGAGTATCACATGTGACATGTAAAGGTCAAATCCATGATCAGGAGAGGGGGATGCTAAGTAGGCGCTATGTCAATGGCAGCATTCCATCAAGACAGCTCAATGATGGTGGGATTCAAATATTTGTACATCTAAAAAGCCATTTGTGAGCTCTGTCAACCCAGAGAGCTCTGTTCACACTTAATGGGTTGAGGTTTAGGCATACAGATCTATATTTGTGTATGAGGGAGTATCTACCAGCAGTTATGGTGGGTGGCTTTCCATTGTAGCTCCTCGGAAACCTGCCTATGTTTGTACACTATGGGCTGGTGCTGGGCAGAACTGGAAAGTAGGTGTCATTAATTTCTAGCATTCTATTATAAAACCATAAACTAATAGAACATTTGGGATGGAAAGGACGTATTTCATCCCTTCATTTTATAGATAAAAAGACTGAGGCCCAAGGAGTCATGTGATTTGCCTAAGGTCATACAATGTGTTAGTGACAGAACCAGAACTAGAGCTCTATTCTTTTGACCTTTCTCCTCTCCTTTTCAGTACCTTTTCTTTTGCCTCTACTCTTTCCTCCAGATGTTCTCATGCTGTGCCCTAGTGCAGGGCCCCATGCTCTAGGTGTTTCCCTACTTTCCCCCCATCTCATTCTCTCAGAATTTTCTAGGTAATAATAATAATAGTACTTTGCCTTTTTTGTAACACATGATTTTCTACAAATTTATTTCACATGTTTTCCTACTTGAGAATTACAGCAATTTGAAGTTGACAGGGCAAATGCCATATAGTGTCCCCATTTTATAGAGGAAGAAACTGAACTGAAGCCATGACTTACCTAAAATGATAGAACTCATTAATGGCAAAGTCAGGATTGGAATTTTCATCCTCTAAATCCAAATTCAGTGTTCTTTCTACTTCATGATTCACTATGGTGTGAATCATTGACCAAGTTCAGTTGTTTTCCAGTCATATCCAATGCTTCGTGACTCTATTTGAGGTTTTCTTGGCAAAGATACTAGAGTGGGTTGCCATTTCCTTCTCCATCTCATTTGACAGAGGAGGAAACTGAGGCAAACAGGATTAAGTGACTTGCCCAGGTTCACCCAGTCAGTAAGTGTCTGAGGCCACATTTGAACTCAAGAAGATGAGTCTTCCTGACTTCAGGGCCAGTGCTTTATGCACCATGGTGCCACTTAGCTGGCCATTACCCAGGTACTAACAAGCTTTCTGTACTTCAGTGGATAGTGTGGCAGTGGAGGAACAAGAGCGTGAGCGGCGACGGCAGGTGGTTGAGAAGTTCCAGAAGGCACCTTTTGAGGAGATTGCTGCCCATTGTGGGGCCCGGGTGAGTGTAGCAGCCAAGGGGAGATTGGTGTCTGGCCCTGAGGATCAGCACTGAGCTGTAACACCAAACAGAAGCTTGCTGGGCTTCTCCTGTGCCCTTTCCCCAAACCCCATCCCCCATAGAAATAAAGGCTAACCCATCAGGGATGGGTCAACACTAGTATTTTTTCTAGTATTCGTAACTCATCATCATCTGGTATCAGTGGACTAAAGAATGTCTTCAGACACGTAGGAACATAAAACACTACTCCCTTGCCAAGAATTGCACACGTATGACCTTAGGCAGGCATGGATGGATTGAGAACTCCATTGTTAAAAGGAATACTCTCAGTAATGAAATCACAACTCTCTTGAAGTATTTAAGTTGAGTACCATCCCCCAAAGTACCAAGAGAGCCCCGTCATTGTTCAGTCTTTTGGGGCAGTTAATTTGGATATGGAGTTATAAGGTGAAGACTTGACCAATAGTTCCCTCTCTCAAGAAGGCAGCCATGGTGAAATAATATGGACACTTCTAGGAGGCACATGACTGACATGCCAAGTTCTATGATGATTGACAGGGCTGACTGTGCCAGGAATATCTAGGAATCAAGGCTGGTTTTCTTAGAAACAGGGATCGTAGGGGAAAGATTTGAAGAGGAAAAAAAAAGTGACTTGGTGAATAGGAATCAGTGGGAAGGAGTTTAGAGGGAGAAGAGAGAAGGGAGTTTATTTTTTTTTAACAATAACAATCTACATTTCATTACTTCATGCATTCCTGATTTCACTGGCTATAGGTACCCTTTCCCCAAAGCAGATTGAAACACTTCATGTCACTGCAGATGGCCTTCATGAGCTGGTGTGGCCAAAATTTGAGGGGCCATCAATAACAAAAACAATGGTAGACATTAGATGCAAAAAATCTTGTGTTTCTATTCCCCTCTTTCATTCAATATTCTCTTAACCCTATGTTATCCCAGTCTTTTTCATCCTCATCCTGGGAGGCAGAGGATTACTATTTTCCTTAAAAAGAGAAGAAATGAGGCAGAAAAGTGGGAAGAGGTTTTTCCCTAGGTCACTGAACAAGATCAGTCAGTCCCAAGAAAATAAACTCCTTGAGGACAGGTACTATTTCATTCTTTATATATCCCCAGTACCTAGCATAATGCCTGGCACACAGTAGGCATTTAATAAATGCTTGTTAAGTTGTATTGACTCCATTCTTCTTTCTCTTGATCAATGATTGCATGCTGTTGCCTTTGAACGACCTAATTGGCTCCTTTAAAAGAATTTTTCTGGTCAGACCCTCTATTTTCATTGGTATAGGCATCTCCCATTGAGGAAATCCCCTCTACCACTGAATGTAAATAACTTCTCTACAATTTACAGTGGTAGAGAATTGCCTGGGGGCCCTGAGACTTGCCCAGGCTCACACAGCCAGTATATGTCAGAGGCAGGACTTAAGCCTAAGTTTTCCTGACTTTGAAACCAGCCCCTCTATCCTCTACACCATGCTGTTTCTCTCTAGTTGGCTCTTAAGGAGGTAGGTACCGAAGATCTCTGTGGTATGCCTTTCTCCATGTCCTCGTGCAGACCAAAGCCCAAGCAGATTGCTACCTCTTATAGGCTATGATAGAAATCATTTTTTCTATTATATTAATAACCAATTATTAAATTAGGATTCAAGCTTTTTCTCCTCTGTTTCTTCATTGAGGACCAGTTCCTGTGGAAGGCCAGCCTCTGAAGGACATGGCTGATTGAGATTAACCCTAACCCTCAGGGAACATGCCCTTGTGTCTTGGGCTGGACCCCACCCAACTAGGAGGCCTTACTTCTGTTTAGAGTGTAAACAGAATCCAGTCTAGGCAAGTTCTTACCCTGAGGAAATGAGCTCCTGGCCTTGTACCCGTCCATTAGAATTTTAGGTGACCCAGCTCATGAAGGAGAAAGCCAATGCGAGTGGTCTGAATGGAGAAGGAGTCCTCTGTCCAGATTGCTGGAGGTGGCTGAGTCTCATGATCAAACCACATCCTCAGCAGGGGAAGCTGAAGACTTCTAATCCACCTCCTCATTAAATGTCCACCAATCAGAATTGATTTTCAGTTGTCAAGGAAATCTTCTCTCAAGCATTATTTAAAACTTTCAGGCTCTCCATGTCTTTTGTCTTTGGTTATCAAGAGAAACCACTAATAATTTATTTATTAGCTAGCCTAATTGATAAACTGACTATTAATTACCCAGAAACTCTGTCTCCCAACGTTTTTCATTCATCACAGCACAACCAGGATCCAAGATCAAAGCTAAAAACAACCTGATGTCCCTCCCTTGGCCCTCTAGCCCTAAGCCGGCCACAGGAACCTGTAATGAAGTGATCTGGTCAGGGCCCTCAAGCTCACCTTCCTTCCATCTCTTTGGTTTACAGGCGTCACTGCTGCAGAGCAAACTCAACCAGATCTTCGAAATCACCATCCGGTAAGTGGCGCCGGGCCGGGGAGTTTGCCCTCTGATCTTTCACAGGGCCCTTCCTTCTGGGATCATCACTTGTTGCTTCTGTTCTCTGGAAGGCCTAGAACTTAATCCTTTTTATAATCTAGAACTGGGGGCCTTAATCTAGACTATTTGACTGGGGGAAGGAAAGATGTCGGTGAATTAGGAGATGGTTTCAGGAAAAGAACCCAGAATGTCTCTGTGACTGTGGCCTTCACAGTGAATTTGGCTTTAAATCAAAAGTCCTGGAACACAGGTTGAAAACAAGGTTGCCCGTGAGATTATAGGATCATAGAGCTAAAGTTAGAAGAAGCCTCAGGAACCATCTAGTCCACCCACTCATTTTATAGATGGGGAAACTGAGGCCCAAGGAGAGAAGTAGTAGGCACTACTTGCCCACAGCCATACAGGTAAGCGTCAGAGGCAGAATTTAAACCCGGACTTCAGAGTTAGTTTGCTTTTCCCTAGATCCCAAGTCCTTTCTCTGATTAGAGGCCTCAATTGAATTTATATATCAGGAAGGCTTGACCTTCATGGATTTGGCCTCTGTGACTGGGGATCTGAGTCTTCTCCACATTTACCCTAGTAGAAGAATGATTCTAGCTTAACCTGTTTACAACCTTTCATGACTTTTCCCTTCAATCTCTTCTTGCTGTCTTTAGACCTCCCCCAAGCCCATCTGGTACCATCACAGCAGCCTACGGCCAGCCACAGAACCATTCCATCCCCGTCTATGAGATGAAATTCCCTGATCTGTGTGTATACTGAGTGCCAAGAGTCAGAGGTCCTATGGAGGATGGGTTTGGGGAAGGTGATCCCCACCCCCATCCCCTACAGCATGGAATCCTAACTGAGATCTCAGGCGAGAAATATAACTTCCAAATGGTGGGCACCTTCCTGAGAATGAAGTTCCTTCAACCCTTCTCTTCCTTCTGCTCTACCATCCCAGCTTTGCCACACTGTCTTTCAGGCCCTCTGTGCCAGTGGGAGTCTACCCTGCCCACTCTGCCTTGCCTTCTGTGTCATTTGGGGTCCTTTATGAGGAGAGATTTGAAGGTTCTCTCCAAATAAGGGCCAGAGAGCCTTGGTAATCCTTTGGTTGATGAGTTGGAGGAATTTTTTTTTCTTGGGGTGGAGCCTCTGAACCATCCGTGGACAGGCTGTCAGGGTCCTGCCAAGGATCTCAGTGGCTTTTGAGCCCAATTTAACACCTGGGGTTGAACAGAAAATGGAAATAAGGAAGGGAGGCATCCGACCTCTTGGGCAGCATTGCCTAGAAAAAGGAAAGTGTTGGAGGTCTCTCTCTAGGAATTTCCCAGCTACCAAGTGGAAGTTTGGATCTCCCCCTAACAGAGCTGCTTCAGAAGGGGTGAGGTATACTGAGAGTTTCATCCTCACTGAGCAACAGACTGAAGTCCCTTCTGCCTGATGTGAAAAGTCACCACATAAATGGGCCCAGGGGCTAGGCAGAAGGGAATGGGGTGCCTTAGGAATTTGGAGGAAAATAGAGTTGGGACCATGGCAGCTCTAAGAGCAGAATCTGAAAGGAAGCATGGGACATCCTTTCTGGGGATGCTAGTGCTCAACAAATAGTTGATACCAGCAATTTTTCCTAACTCTTGTTCATCCATAAGAGTTGCCCTGGACCAGTCTCCTCTCAAATGGCACAGGACCCTTGGAACCAGGGTTTAGAGGCATTATGGGAACCCAAAATGAAATTAAGGGCAAAGTCTAATCTAATGAAGGGAAATAAAATCTGGCAAGATTGTGGGATTGGGGAGAGGGAGCAAGGCCATCTTCAGCCTTGACATTGCTAGGGAGGCAAATACATTGCATCCTGGGAGTCCTGTATCATGAGAAATTATATCACAGAATGCTCCCCAATGACCCCCTTTCATAGTAGGCAGCGATGGGAAAACCATCTCTACCTAGCTCCACCACCAAGAGTGGTCCCTCTTGGCTCTCTTACCATCTCTACCCTGCCTGGGATACTGGGTTATGGTGTCTCCTTGGTCTCTCTTCCTGGAGGTCATAGGCCTATCGCTGGAGGTTCTAGGCTTGAGGGCAGGACAAGAGGTGGCTCAAGACAATTGACACTCTCCAAAAAGGCAGGGGATGACAGGATGCCCCAATGCCCTGCCCTGAATCATTCCCTCATAGGGAAAGTTATTTGCCCTGCCCTGGGCATAGGGTCCTTGGGACTATCATTCCTATAAAAGGAGTTTACCTGCTAGCACTGAGAATATTGTATGTATCTACCAAGGAATGAGTGGGCCAGTTGTATGATTTGGGAGCGCAGTGTGCAAGCCTGTGTATGTGTGGGAGGTAGGGTGGGGGAGGGGAAATGTACATATGTCTTTTGGATAAAGTCTACACATATATTTTATCCAAATGAGGTAGTACCTCTGGACTCCAGAGTGCAACAGAAGCTTCTTCGAATTCTAGATTTTTAGGTGCCCCATGTACCCTGCACCTTGTTAGGTACCCAATAAACTTTTTATAAATGATGGTGACAGCAAGTTGTTGCAAAAGCCCAATCAGAACCAATACACACATGACCCCAAGCAATATGGGAAAGTGGGGAGGGAAGTTTGTCTTCAATGCCCTTTCTATGCTCCATTCTACCCTTGCTGATCTCCCAAAGGTCAACCACACTTACGTGGACCATGGCTTATTTAGAACCCCAGATGGCAGATTCCTACAAGCACATCTCCCTCTAAATAACCCTTCCTTCCTCCCCCAATCTTCTAAACTGCCCAAAGCTCTCATTTATTAGTATAGCTGAGATAATTCACCTGAGTATGTGAATGAATTATAGGTCAGTTAGTGGTTTGCCCTCATGTAGGGAGGAGAGAGAGAAAGAGACAGAGAGAGAGAGAATGAGAGAACGTGAGAGAGAAAAGGGGCCAAAAAAAGGGAATTTGATCCAGAGATATTTTCTCCCATCCTAAGTGGAGTTTCTGGAGGAAGAAAAGTGAAATTTGAGCCCAACTATCATAATATTGTTACCTCAGGCCATTGCTTTTATAGTTTCGGTATTTGCCATATTGGTCTGAATATGAAACACTTGAAACGATAGAGTACATTTCTAAAACAAGACCCCTTTTTTAAAAATGCATAATTGAATTGTGCAATGAAAGGCAGCACTCCTTGGCCATTCTAAAGTTTTATGCAAGCCCAGGATATGCAAGCCCACCTTCAACTCAGCCTCTGTTATTGCACAGTGGGTATACTAGGTGGTATAAATCATACGTTCAGGGTTAGAAGGGCTCTCAGAGACCACCTTGTGTGATCCTTATCAGAAAAAGGATCTCCCATATGACATACCTGGTAAGTAGTCATTAGCCCTTACTTCAAGACTTTGAGTAAAGGGAACCCACTAGTGCTTAAGGCAATCCATTCCATTTTTGAGTACCTCCAACTCTTCACTCCATAAAACCTAAATTTATCTTCAACTCACTGTTCCTCATTCTGCCCTCTGTGGTCAAGCAAAATGTGTCTGATCCTTCTTTCTTGTAAGAGACCTTCAGATATTTGAAGAAAATGATCATGTGCCCTCTCCCCCCCCACACCAAACTGCCTTCTTCCCTATGCCAAATCTCCTTGATTCTTTCATTTGATCCTTCTAAGGCATGATCTCAAGGCCAGCCACTATGTTGGCCGCCTTCCTTTAGCTTATCACTGTGCTTCCCAAGATGTTAATCAGAATTAAATAAAGCACTCCAGCCAGAGGAGTGTCCTCTGGCGAGGGCAGAATTACTCCTTCCTGGTTCTGCACTCTCTGTCTCACTTAGTGTAATTTTAGGTGGCATGCGTTCCCTGAAATCCAACATGGAGGACATCCCAACTTATAAGCATGAAATTCCTCTCCATTTTTATATAATAAAACATTTCTTATTAAAATAGCAACTTAAACTTCTAGTGAACATCTAAGCACACAGTTTCTTAGAGGAAACTTTGAAGACAAGATAGGAATCCTATTTTGGCCCTATGAGGGCCGAACTAGTCTTCCCACACTAAGTAGCTCTTTATGATTATTCTGAGCACTTTGTCTCTTAACCCTCAACTTAGCTTTAAAGGAAGACCCTCAGTTTCTTTCTTACTTGACTTTAGTTGTCCTCCCCACTACCTCTAGCCATGTTTCTCATACCTGTGGTGCTGAGGGGTGAGGATCATAAGATCTGAAGCCAGAGGGGAGCTTATGGGCCATCTATCAACCTTCTCCTCCAATCCCCCCTTCTATTTTACAGATAAGGATACTGAGGCTCAGACTTGTGTAATAATATTTCCATGACACCTTTCTAAAGAGCCTACAAATGAGATTGATTCCCCTAGAAGATGACTGTTGGCTTTGGTTATCACTGTTCCTTATTTTATCGTGAGGAAAAAATAGTCAAAGTATATCTCTAGCTATATGATTTAGATCAGTGGTGTCAAGCTCAGACACCGGGCCACTAACCCATACATGAGGATCCCTGGCGGGAGGATTGTGTATTGACTTAGAAAACCACACATTAACATCATCTTTGTTCTGCTGTCCTTGTATTTATTTTATTAAATATTTCCTAATTACACTTTAATCTGAATGCGGCCAGCAGCATGGGGCCTTGTGTTTGATGACTCTGATTTAGAACATCAGTTCTATGCCCCACCAAATCAAGGGAAGCTTTTCTGTGCTTTTATTTTCTCCTTGTGAAGAAGCTACTTCTGTCTCTTCTGGTATCTAAGTTAAACAGTGTTTATTGCCTAATTATAGTCAACAAGGCAAACCAAATTCTCCTAACAAAAATTAGCAACAAGCTGTAATAGAACGTTGAATTTTGACTCAAAGGGGGCTAGATGTGGATCCTGCCTCTGCTAAGTCATTTATGGGACAGGGGGCAAAACACTTCTCTCTGGGCCTCAGTTTCCTCATCTGTAAAATGAAGGTGCTGGACTAGATCACAGGATCCTATGGTGAAGAGCCAAAAGGGACCTTAAAGACGAGCTAATCCAGTGTCTTTATGTGATAAGTGAGGAAACAGTCTTTGAGGTTTCTTCCCGCTCTTAATCGTAAGAACCTGTGAAAGTCCTGCATCAAAGTCAGCGTGCCTTAGAACAAAGCACTGGAGATGTGGTCAGGACTTAAAATGGTTTCATGCCATTATAATCTTGTCCTACCACTGGCTCCAGGGAGTGAGGGGGAAATAACTTCCCCTTCCTGGCCAATCCCCTTTTGCTAGCTGTGCTGTTCCTTGTGATGAGGCCTTTTTCCCCTCCCGGGTAGAGGCAGTTAGAAATCATCCTTTAATCTATCCAGCAAACATTTATAAAGCACCGGCTATATATGAGGCTGAGTGCTAGGTGCTGGATATATCAAGACAAAACAAAAAACAGTCTTTACCCTCAAGCAGCTTATATTCTACCCAGCTGGAGACCCCGTTATACTCATAATGGACAGAAGATGAGCTTCTGCATTTAAGAGAAGGATGAGTGCAACTAGAGCTTTCCTGAGAAGGTTCAATCAGACATGAATAGATTTTAAATCCCCAGTTTCTCTTAACTAAATTGAGTTTTCCTCCAAATAGGGACCTCAGGGTCCTATGGTTATACTCCCTCCTTCCTCTTCCTGTTTGAGAGCACAAATCCAGTAATTCCATTTAAAATTATTCTCTCTTAATAGAAAGTGAGGTTAGGAGATTAGTAATGCCAAGATAGGGTCAAATGAAGCCAGGCTGCAAGAAGGGGGTAAAAACTATGCTAGCTGTCCCTAAGCAGTTAACATTTGGAGGGAATGTTTAATAGGGATGGGGGGGCTAAACTTCTGATTTCATTGGTATGGGAAACTCCCTGTGCCAGTGTGATTTGGCACTTTATCTACAGTTTGTGAACAGCTAGGTGGTGCAGTGGATAGAGCAGCAGACCTGACATCTGAAAGACTTGTCATCGTGAGTTCAAATCTATCCTTAGACACTTACTAGTTATGTGACCCTAGGCAAATCACTTAATCCTGTTTGCCTCAGTTTCCTTATCTGTAAAATGAGCTGGAGAAAGAAATAGCAAACCACTCCAGTGTCTTTGCAAAGAAAACCCCAATCAGGGTCACAAGGAGTCAGACACAACTGGGATATGACTCAAAAAGAGCTATAATTTATATTCTTAGATACTTGCCTAAAACCCAGATGTATAGTAGAGCTTAACTTGGAACTTCCAAAGGACTAAAATAGCTCAAGGATCAGGAAGCCTGAGCTTCTCTGAGGTCTCTAGATTGTGATCCTGTCTCATCCCAATCTCGTTGTCCCTGATGGATAAATCCCCACTACAACATTGAATTATCTCTGGACTCCCATGTAACTGGGAAGGCTGAACCCAGCTCAGAATCCGTGCTCTTACTGGGCCCCTCCAGGGTACCACAGACAAATTGAGCTAAAACAAGATACCTGAGATGCCCTGGGAAGTACAAGCAATTTAGGGTCACTGGTCTTCCCCATATCCCAGCAACCCTCAAAGTAACAATGAACCATTTGCTTCAAGTCTAATCCAAGCCCAAATATGCTGCAAGGAGAGAAGACTGAGGACTTAACTAGAAGGTAAGCTCTTGGAAGGCAGGGGCTATTTCTATTTACCTTTATACCCCTAATACCCAACAGTTTTTGGCACCTGTGATTTCTCCCAGTGGCAGGACCTCCTACCTGTGCAGAACAGCAATTTCTCTGTAATTGGTCTTGGTGAGCTGTCCAGAGAACAAAGAGGCTGTGACTGACCCGGTGTTACATGGTTATATTTGTCAAAAACAGGAGTGGAAGCCAGGTCTTTCTGGCTTACAGGTGAGCTCTCTAGCCACTTCGCCACACTGCCTCTCTCGTTTGGCACATGGTAGGCCCTTAAATACATATAGACTGATTGTTAGAATGGACTGTAGAAGAGGAGTAGGTTGCTGAATTGAAGTTGGACCTTGAATTTCACTCTACCTGAGGACCAAAGAAGCTGACTGAGTTCATCTCTTTTTCTGGGAGATCTGGGAATGGGGGAAATGCTCTCCCTCCATCTCCTCGTGATTTCTGAAAAGCACTTAATTAGTTGAAGGGGACAAGAGGCACTCCCAGCTGGAAAACCTGTAAATGCTTTTGTCCTCAGATTGCAGTGTGTGTGTGTGTGTGTGTGTGTGTGTGTGTGTGTGTGTGTGTGTGTCGTATCTAGACCTTTGTGGCCCTGGGTGGATGGGGGTGGGTGGGGGTGGGTGGAGGTGCACAAGTGCCACATAGTTTCTAACGTGTATATAATAGCTGATAGATTTATTTATATGTGAGTGCAGAATTAGTTCCTGTGATAGCTTCTGTATTTAAAATTCATTGCAGCTCATTGGCTTCATTTGTGGGCAGAGGAAAAGGTAGTGGATTTGGGAGAGGACAAGTAGGTGGCTGTGGAGGGATGATACCTAAGAAGGCAATTCATTAGGGAATGTTTGTCAATATTTTCCAATATGTCTTTATGATGCCCTTTTCAAATAAATGTTAATGTTGTCTCC